GCCATATGGATAGCCAATTGGAAAAACACGCAATTTGGCAGGCCGGGGCATGATTACAGACCAAAAACGTAAAACGTAAAACACAAAAAACGAAAAACGAAAAACAAAACCGGATAGGCCAGCACGAACCGCTTTATTATAATTTTATGTTGTTGCTGTTGTAGTTGTAGTTTTTGGCTTGCGGCCAGATGTCAGCTGTTATACTTACTTAATGACTGGTGACTAATTGGCCGATCGACTCGGACCAAGCCTCTCACACACAAATGTGTATATACAAGTAGTAGTAGTATAGTCTATGTGTGCATTACATACTTGTACAATCTGATATTTGTAATAAGTACGTTCCGTTCTCAGCTTCCGAAACCCACCACCCCCCTCTCCCAAGCCGCACATATGAGTGCATACATGAGTGTCCAAAACATGCTCCAAACATAAATACACACTCACATAAGTACCTATACGAGTGTGTGTGCAACAATTCTTAATTCCTCGGCCTAAGCATACACACTCACTCCGACTTACGAGCATACTACTCACATGTTTGTATGTACGAGTATATTAGAGCTCTTCATGAGTCGTTTTCCCCCTCCTTTGTTTGACAACAGTGATTCGAAAGTGCACCAATTAACAACAACAACCACAGAAAAGTCTAATTACAAAAAAAATACACTAGAGTCTGCATGAATCGTTCTTTCTAGCTTCTTTCGTTACAGGACTGATTCAAAAATAAGACTTAGCATCAAAAAGACAGTCTAGTGGTAAAATAAAGCATATATTAAAGGTGTGCGATTCGTTTCTCCCCTTTCCTTGCAACAGGACAAATTCAAATTAAACGAAACAAATTTAAAAATTAGGTAAATACGAGTGCAAATAAAATAAATAATTATAATACTCTTCGCACATCAATTGTTGTACTTTTTTATTTCGAATTCGTAAAGCATAAGGCATATAGTACGAGTATATTAGAAGACTGCATGTTAAGCTTTTTCAATTTTTGTTGGTACAAGATTCATTCAAAACTGCACGAATTAACAACAAAAAATCCAAATCTAAATTTTTCATATTCCGTTTCTTATAATTCCATTACCAAAGCATGAAAGTATTTCTTTAAATTAATTGTCATAAAGAAAAATTTATATGTTATATGCCTATGTTTGATTTATTTCGGTTGAAATTATTATTTAAACATAACATTTTGCCATTCGTCCCCTTGTTCGACTGTATGAACTTCAATAACTTTTGAACTATAGCAGGGACATCATTATTTTACTTAGCCGATCACGAAGTTTAGTATAGTGTCTTATGAAATGCTGATGTTGCATTAAAATCCGCTGACTATCTCATACAAGTATAACATACATAGCTGCTATTGGAAGGATCAGCGCTGAGTTCACTCTGAGTAGTAGTTTCTGTTTATTTCGATATTATAAGAAAGTTTGTTTTAGTTCAATTGCTGGAAACGAAGAGGGTATTCAGTAGTCTGACTGGCACGACTTTAAGATCCTTCTAGCTACAGAGATATTTTTAAAGCGTTTGGACAAATCCACATTACAAATAATTGAGTCCAGAAGAGAAAATGTCTACATTTTTCTTAGCTTCACTGAAAATATAGCAGTTTGTGATTGTGGGCGGACATAAATAAATGAAATGATTTTGAAGGCGCTTATAAATTTCGTGTAAAATGTTCAAAGTACGTTTCTTCGAAAATCTTTTTATGTTCGGGTCGGTCGGACTAAAACAAACGAGATCTGTCCATCTCTGCGCACTCGTTTGTTCCCCTGCAGGTACGAGTATACATAATAGGACGCTTCATTGGATATTTATGACAACAAATGACAATTTCAAGTGTTGTCGACATCTCCACTTACACTCCACTCCACTCCACTCCACTCTGCAGTCACCAAGAAGGGATCATGTGTGAAAACCAATTGGAACCCAGGCCAGCAAATGATCAGATAATGAAATACAGAGCGGAAACTATGGATCAGAAGCGATTTCTTTTTGTAACCGTAACACGCACAGGCAAATAATTTGCTCACAAACGCATCTCATAATGTGATCATTAATTCAATAACTTAAAAAAGGTTCAAATGTTAGGACATTTTTATAAGCAAAAAAAAACGCTTCGAAATCTCATATAGAACTCCTCATTTCCTTTGTGCCAATCATTCCTACAGCTGCTATATGATTTAGTTTATCAGTTTTGATCTAACTTCATAAACCATATTTGATTACGATAGCACAATAGACAGAAAGGTTGTTAGTACTAGAGGGATTTTGGCACTAATTATTCCTATAGGTGCTGGTTGATATAACAAGCCGTTTTTGATGAAATCTTAGATAAACGGTGAGGCACTATGTATAATGGACTTTTAAATATCAATATCTTAATAACTAAAAGGTTATAGAATAAACTTGCTATGCGTATGGATAGGACAAGTCTGCACAACAACTTTGGTGTCCAAAGTTATTGAAGTTCATACAGTCGAATGGGGGGAAGAACGAACGAATTTTGCTGATAATAGAATTATATACATACAAGTAGTATGAAGTATCTGTATCTTACACGCCATTTCGCGCTTAGACTTGCTAGTGTAGCCTTTGATCGAGCGGGTACAGGACACTCGTAGGCCGACCCACACACACACACACACACACACACACATGTACATACACAGGTAAATAAATTGACACGAACGGTAGAAACCGCATTACTTACTTATTTTATGTGTTGATTTTAGTTTGTTTTTCTCCTTCTGGTTCTTCTTCTTCTTCGTGTACTTCTGGGTTTTCTTAAGGGATGGAAAAGGTGCATGCGGAAAGATATAAAGATACTAGATAGTTGTTGTTCACACACTCACACGGACACTAATCTCGAGTACTAAGCATTTCTGAGTCTGTCTGTGTGTGTGTGTGTGTGTGTGTGTGTGTGCTTACGCAAAATACCTAATCAGCGACAGCAATTACAACAACAACAACATTAGAAAGAAGAAGAATAAGAAGAAGAAGCAGGAGTAGCAGAAGAAGATGAAATCAACGCCAAGTAATTTTTTGACCCCCTACTGATTAGAAAAGAGCGTTTTTAGTGTCCAAATGAGCAGCAGAAACATGTCTCAGGCATTATACACAGATCGACACACATGCAGGCAGCTGCCTCACACACACGCACCGCACACACACACAGCACACATAAATATCAGTGTATGTGTGGACATTTTAAGTGATATTTGAGTACAAAACTCAGTGAAGTGGGAAAAGCGGCAAACACTTTCGGACCCATTTACATAAGCCTCGGCACTAAGGATGAACATGGTGTGCGTGTGTGTGTTGGTGTGTGTGTGTGTTGGTGTTGGTGTGTGTTTGTGTGTCTCATTGTAATGAGAATGCCACACACTTGATGCCTGCCGAAGAGCACATTTTACGACTTCAAGACCACCGCCAGCCGGCCGCATAGATAGGTACGAGTACTCGTACTATGTATTAGGAATTATGGCAATAATTACTCGTACGCTCAGACCCAAGCATACATACATACATGCCCGTATGTATGTATGTCGTTCCCCAGAAGCACCAGGAAAATTGCTTAATTCAGCTGCAAACGTATTCCCATGAGATCCTCAAAAAACAACAAATGTGTAAATTAATCCTTATAAATACATATGTCCATACATATGTATGTACCTACCCTACCCATAAGTAGGAGTTAAGGTCTCTTTTTTACACTAAAACATGTTGAGATCATGCTAGTTATGAATATTCGGTGCAGTTTTTGAATAGCGAAGGGTTCTTGAATGGGATTCCGGTCAGCTTACAACGGTCGAGGAAAGTTTTAAATTTTTGATTTGAAATGTATGAAAAGAAGTCCAAAATACTATCAAATATCATAAAATTCAGGAAAATTTTCATTTTCTTTAACCATATATTTTGTACACTATTTGCTCTTTCCAAGACGAGCAGTAAGTTCCCAATTATGTTATGTTAAATCGCTCATGAACCGGGGCTTTCCGGGTTGGAAGATTAGTATGTTGGTAGCCAGGCTAGATCCTTAGATGCTTATCAATTAATAGATACCCTACCATAGGTTGTAGTACTACTATATAAATATGTTGAGATCATGTCAATTAGGAATATTCGAAGCAGTTTTTACCTGGCGAAGGATTCTGGTAAGCTAACAAGTATCACTAAATAATTAGGGGTGTTTACAAACTTTAGAGTCAGTGACAAGTGATAAATAATTACGGAAGAGTCAAAATTGTAGATTGATGATGATTTAAAAAAAAGTGTATGCCCCAAATATATGCAAATAATTGTGAAACCCCTCTGGGAGCATTTCCCAAATCTTAAGAATATCCTCCAGTTGCAAGAATATGTTGCTTACGCAGCCCTTGGAACAGATACTGGCTCGGGAGAAGCTAGGATCTCATTTAGGGCCACTATACTTGCTATGTATATGACCGACAAATATTTTGAGACGATCTCCACAATATTTCGTTTAAAATTAATGTTAGGTGAATATAGTCAGTGTGTTTTAAGCAGCTAATTGTAGACGGTCCTAAAATTAAATTTTCATTTGACTAAATATTTATCACAATTATCCCATTCTCCAGTAATTTTATGCTCTTTGAGATTTCTTTGGGGCAACAGTGAAAAGTGTTTCATAAAAGTTTTTTAACAAAAGTATATATTGCAGACGCAAAAATGTGTATATAGTTTATATAAACATATAATTAATTAAATAACATCTGATTTTGATCAATCATTTACAATTTGTGCATTTATTTAACAAGAAAGTTTAAGAAAGCTTTGTGAAGGCTCTAGCTGGCAACGGTATGTATTTGAAATGCGATAGAATCGATACTTTTCCACCAAAGCATCTTCAAGTGTACTTCAGTGTTGCACAACGGCACACAGTTGCAATCGTCGGCGTTGCCATAGAACTTGAACAGCTGCTGTTGGTATCATGCGCTTTTATTATCAACAAGAAGAGAAGTATATATATATTTAATTAAATCTACTGATTGCGCCGATCTAATTCCATGGGTCGACTAACTCTGGAGCACACGCTGCAGGGCCACAAAGGACGCATTTGGGGCGTTGCTTGGCACCCAAATGGCAACACGTTTGCCTCTTGCGGAGAGGATAAGGCGATACGGATTTGGACTTTGTCGGGTTCAGGTACATGGAGCACAAAGACCATATTGTCAGATGGACACAAACGCACAATCCGCGAGATACACTGGTCACCATGCGGCCAGTACTTGGCATCGGCCAGCTTCGATGCAACCACAGCCATTTGGTCGAAATCTGTGGGGGAGTTCGAATGCAATGCCACGCTGGAGGGGCATGAGAACGAGGTGAAGAGCGTCAGCTGGTCACATTCTGGCGGGCTGCTGGCAACCTGTTCGCGTGACAAGTCCGTTTGGATTTGGGAATTTGCTGGAGACGATGAATTCGAGTGCGCCGCAGTCCTCAACTCGCATTCGGCGGACGTAAAACGTGTTGTGTGGCATCCTAAGAAGGATGTCTTGGCTTCGGCATCCTACGACAATACCATTAAATTGTATAGTGAGAGCGCGCTGGACAGCGACTGGGACTGCACGGCCACGCTGTCCTCGCATACCAGCACAGTTTGGGGTATTGATTTCGACGGAGATGGCGAACGGCTGATTTCCTGCAGCGACGACAAAACTCTAAAGATCTGGCGCTCGTATCCCCCAGGAAATAATGCGGGCATTGCCACTCCAGAGAATATACCTGTATGGAAGTGTGTCTGCACCTTGGCTGGTCACCATTCGCGTGCCATTTACGATGTGACTTGGTGCAAGCAGACGGGACTGATTGCCACGGCTTGTGGCGATAATGCGATTAGAATATTTAAGGAGAGCAGTGATTCCAACAGCGATGAGCCGACATTCGAGCTGGTTACCGCCGAGGATAGTGCTCATGGCGAGGATGTCAATGCCGTTGACTGGAATCCAGTCACGTCCGGCCAACTGCTCTCCTGCAGTGACGACGGCACCATCAAGATCTGGAAGGTGGTTGACTAAAAAAGATTGTCTTCTTTTTTGTTTTTTTTTTGTTTAGACACTAACTATGAAAATAAACAATGTTTGTAGAAATGAGAGGATCCGTTTATTTGCTGAGAAACGGTTCCTGCAGCGTTTTATACAACTTTTTAGCCTTGCGCGGCCCCAAACCCATAACCTGCGAAAGGCGTTCCTCGCCGGCATTGATGAGGTTCTCCAAGTTCCCAAAATTTTGCAGCAGCGTTACAGCATCCGTTTTGTTGACCGGTTTAATATTAGTGAGAGCGGCCACCAGCTGCAATGAAACATATTATGAGATGGATTATAATTAAACCTCTCAAAAGCACCTTTTGGTATGGTTTCGATTCCACGCGCTCCATAATCAAATCCGGCGCACGTTTCTCAAACTGTTTGTAGGTCTCAATCAGCTTGCCCGCCTCCTCTGCGTTCCAGGCCAGCATCACCGTAAGGTCTGCCAGCAGAGCTATGCGGGTGAGGCTCTTCAATGCATTGTGTGGTTCCTGAGACAATTTGTGTTTCAATGAATGTGGATACATAAAGCATAGAGTACCCCTACCGCTGTGTCTACCTGCACGAGCAGGACCCGAAGCTCATACATCTTGCCCAAAATCTTCAGTCGCTGACAGATGTAATCTGGATTCAAATTGTGGTACTTAAGCGACAAATAAAGCACACAAGTGGTACGACCGACAACATAGTCGGGCACAATATCATCTCGAAATTCCAGCGGTACATTTAGGATCGATTTGAGGATAGGATTTCCCCGTTGCTTCGGATGCACCAAAATGCAATGTGGATTCGCTGGAGTGTTCGACGAAACGCTGGCGGCCACTGGATCCGCGCCGACGTCAGTGGACGGTGCCGGTTTCTGCACCTTTGGCTGCTTTGGCTCTGTGGGCATTTCTATTGAAGCCAAAACCTCATCAAATGAGTCGTCGTCGTCGTCCATACTTAAAATAGAAAAATAATTTTAAAAACCAACCAAGTTTGGCGCTTACTTTAAAAGTCTTAAAAATAGTACTAAATGAAATATTTCATCATGGTGGCACTATCGTATCGATAGCCTACCTTTTTTAATCGATAATATTCCGAGGCTGTGATAACAGCAGAATCAGCAGTGCAGCGAATTTTAAAGTTATTAGTGATGGTATTTTCATGTAAGTACTATAGCTATCTAAAAGTTAACATTCTGCAACGTAAAAGCCATTCACAACGAACGAATAATAATTAATTCTTATTGGTAAATCTGCGCAGCGAATGATTACCATTCGACAACAGCTGACACCTTCCCTGAATGTTAACAGCATTTATTTGGTGGAATGAGCGTTTGACGCACTTTCAAAACAAAATGTCGAAATCAAGGAAAACTCAAATTTTATGTTACTGAATCTCTGGAGTGGGAAGAGTGCCACGCTAAATGCACGAAGTAATTGTCGCATTTAGAGCCAAATGTCGGAGAAATTAGCAAAGCCGGATACTGGAGTAGTATATAATCGTACAATAAGTATGTTGGAAATGTTAAAATTTCTAACTGGTTGCTTGCTATCGACTCTTTTGTCCAGACTTAGCTTCGCCTCTTTCTAAAAAAAATAATATTGCAGTACAAATTAGTTACGGGAGTATAAAGATCAAACCAATTTTATAAAGTGTTGATATTAGATTCGAATTCGATTAGAATTAGAACAACGCAAATTCTTCTTCAGGTATTTGTTGTAAAAAAAAAATCGCGCACATAATGGAATAAGCTGAACTAGCTTCGAGGTTGAATAGTTTAAGCAGCAAAGAGCGTACTATTTCTATAATATCGGCACGATCGATACTGGAAAATCATCGTTTCTTTCCAACTATCGACGATTTATCCATTAGTTCTGCAATCTACCATTTGCGGTTAGAAATTTTCATGGAATGTGCGCAGAGCGACCCGCAAACATTAACACGCGACGAAATAATATTCGCGCTTGAAAGGGTACGTACACACACATACACACAAAAACATGCTTAGATTCCATGAATAAGTGGGAATCCATCCACAGCGCCAACTCTTTCTTCCCAATGCCTATGCGCTGCCTCTTCACGAGCTGCTTAACATCTATTACGACTTTATAGTGCCGCGTGCTCGACGCGAGCGTTCCAGATCTGCCAGGGCTGAAGCGGCAGTTGCACCGGCCAAGTCGCCCCCCTCCTCGTCCTCTTCACCGTCTCCATCATCTTCGCTGAAGCGGAGCAGCCAACAAAGCACGGCGATGAGCACAGATGTGTGTTTAAGCGACGCTACAAAGCGGATTAAAATTGATTATGCCTGATGGGGAAAAGCCTACGAAAATAATCATTGAATGGATCTATATATAGCTCTATATGTATGGAAGAAAAGCTGCGATCTGAGCTTTGAGACGCGCTTATCAATGGCCCCTAGAGTGGTGTTAATGGCCGTGAACGGCATGTATCAGTCTAGAAGCAAAACAACATGCGGCTGGAAAGGTATCTGCTGTGGGTATTCGCTGCGTTCGTGCTGCTTTGGGACGCCACTGGGGCAGTTTTCATGGAGGAGCCCGACTTGGATGGCTACCAGGTGGTGCTAAAACGCACCGCCAATCGAGGCGACAAGTTGCAAATCTTTCAGAGCATTTGGGGCGCTATACGCGCCGACTTCCCCGATGACACCGAGAAGGTGAAAGGTCTCTACACGCAACTGAACAGCTTTATACAGAATGAGCCGAGCCAGTGCAGCAGTGGCAGCAGCACAGGACGCACAGCCTGCGAACTTCAGCAGGAGGTGCGTCGTCATCTGCGGCAGCTGTTGGTGCAGCGTTTGGGGAATCTGCTGAACGCCCAGGAGAGCATTGCAGCTTATGGCATGTATATCGCATCAACTCTGGAGCCAGCGCTGGTTCGCGACATTCTCGTGCGCGTGGTGGCTGACGTGTATTTCCATCGCCCCACCGAGGCATTGGCGCTGCAGCTGCAGGATCTGTTCACCGACAAGGACGAGAACAGCTTCAAAACGATGATCGAAGCACAGCTCGCACTCTACTGGCACCATCGGTCGATGCACGATTTAAGCAACGCATATTTGTTCAATGCGGCCTACATCCTCAGCAATATCCGCACCCATTACATGTACGCGAACGTCGACAAACCATTGCAACGGCGCGTCAATGAATTGCAGCAGAACCTGCCCCAAGCGCTCAGAAAGCTGTTTGACTCGCAGGGCTTCTGCCTGTTGAACAAGGCGCATCACGAATATGTGTACACCACAATTACTGACGAGTGGAACTATGGGCTCAATGGACGACAGGTTTTCACGTGGATTCAGCCGAACTATACTGATAGCGCGGGCTCGATGCGAGCCTTCGTTCAGGAACAGCAAAGCGCCGGCCAACGTACGGGGCCTTCCACGCCAATCTTCCTGCTGCGCAACGAACAGTTCCAATGGTACTTCTTCATCGACGCCAGCCAAGGCAATCGGCTGGCTGCGCTTCGCACTGGCAGCCCCAGCTCCACCAGCAGCGCCTTCTCCATCAAATATGACGGCGATGCGGATGCTCTTATCTTCAGGCAGCGCGATTTAACGCTCTGTACCGCTGAGATGCACGACAAGGAAAGGCGGTTCATTAAGCTCCTTTCCGGCCAAACGCAAACGCATCCATCCGACGAGTGCGTCTGGATGCCCGTAAACTGTGCGTAGCCCCCATAGAGGCAGAGATGGCGCTCATTTTAGAATTAGAAAGAGAGCGCATATTAGCTCATGTTCACAAAGCTTTTCGGGTAACACTTTTATGCTCCTAAATAAATGAAGTGTATTTCTCACAGATATCTAAAAGCGTTAACTATATATACACACGTTTTCTGTATAACGCTTTAGGGGAGGTTGCATTTACATTTAATAGCGGAACGCGATGAGGATTAACTAAGAAGCTCGGCAGATAATTGTGTAGAAAATGGTTTGTCAGTCGATATAAACTAAAGTTTTTTAAATATACATATGTATGTATGTCGGCTCAAAGAGAATTCGTTGTCTTTGAAAATAGCAAATTGTGTTGCTTTTTATTGCTTTTATTTGTTCTAATCTACAATAAGTATTACATACATTACATATTAGATTTATTTAATTACTTTTTTCGACTAAAGTGATTTCACGATTCCTTTTAGTGTATTTAAGCCAGTTTAAATTCGGCAGAGGACTGTTATCGTTGTTACTAGTATTAAAATACTTTATGGCTAATACTGCTTTTGGTATTTTTGAATCGTCTGACAACACTGCTGTATAAGCACTGTCGATAACAATAGTTCTGCCAGAGTAGACATATTTACGTATCAGCGGTGCAGTCTAGGGGTTTTGGCAACGAATCGCAGCGTATTCTTTTTTTTCGCAACACTCCAAACAAATTAAAAAGGTAAGCTGCAGGCTAAAAAGGTAGTAACTGCTTTGAAAAGACAAAATCAGCGCTGCATTGTTATTGTGCAGCTGATTGTTGGGCACTGTAAGCGTAAAAAGCCGCCACCTGCCTAACCTACAAAGTTATATAATGTTTGTTGGTTTTGTTGTTCAGTTTCTAACTGGATGCTTTCCAACAATTGCTTCATTGTTTATCTCACCCATGTACTATTTCTTGCAGAACATGTCGTTCGTAAAGAATGCGCGTCTGCTGGCCTCACGCGGCTCCCGTCTGGCCATGTCGCGTGCCTACTCCGACGAGATGAAGCTGACCTTTGCTGCCGCCAACAAGACCTTCTACGATTCTACCGTGGTGCGCCAAATCGATGTGCCCTCCTTCAGCGGAGCCTTCGGCATATTGGCCAAGCACGTGCCAACGTTGGGTAAGTCTGTCACACATATGTATATGTATCTGACAACAGTTTCATCTTCATCCGTCTTTGGGTGCAGCTGTGCTGAAGCCAGGCGTTGTGCAGGTGTACGATAATGAAGGCAAAGTGTCCAAGTTCTTCGTCTCCAGTGGATCTGTGACTGTAAATGAGGACTCCTCCGTGCAGGTGCTGGCGGAAGAGGCGCACAACGTTGAGGACATTGATGTCAACGAAGCCAGACAGCTGCTATCCAAATATCAGTCTCAACTCAGCTCAGCTGCTGATGAGAAAGCAAGTGTTTGTTCTTTATAAATAATTATTGGTTAATAATGTATCGTTTTTTTGTTGCAGGGCAAGGCAGAGGCTGCCATTGCTGTGGAAGTTGCGGAAGCGCTCGTCAAAGCTGCCGAATAGATTTTTGAATAGATCTTAATTAACAACAAGAGATGAGTTTTAAATACCAACACACATAATACAAAATATGATGAAGTGCCGCATTTAAGCTGGCAGCAAAACTGTTATGAAACAATAAATGAAATTAATAACATCCCAACTATGCCACACAAAACAATAATCCAATAAGTGCAGGAAACCTCGTCGCGGATCACAATATCAATTCCATTATATTCTTCACATTTCAATCACACAAGACATTCATTTTGGCGTTGGCATTGGCGGTGGCGAGGTTTTATGCTCCACACAGTGCCTGGATAAGCAGAAGCTTTTATTTTAATTTAAAGAGGCCAAATCGGTAAGATTTTCTTGAACATTTTCAATTTCCATGCTGTTGTGACGCCTCACAGTAGCAAGAATATTAACTGTTCATTACTTTATGGGAAATCATTAATTATATTGCGTAACGGCCTTAAGCCTCCAGGTCTCTAAACAGATGAGTACAAATCAAATTTTGTAAAGTGTCGCAGTATTGTCATTCGAAATGACTTTGCCTTGACTGCCAGAAAGCCTATTGGCGATGTCGGAGGCTGTTGGATCTTCGAGTATTATAATTCGTGCGAGCAAACTTCGGAAGATAGCAGCTAACTATGAACATAATTGTCGCCATCACAGTTCCGACGCGATGCCTTCACTTCTCTGCATTATTCTGTGTCTTTGGTTGGACATTCTATAAATATTTGTAAATACGTATATGCTTGATCAGAATGCGACGATTAGTTGTCCGTCTCTGCCTCCAAGTGTGTCTCATCTGCGTGAACGATAAAGGATTCTGAAAAGTATATCAGCCAAGTGGACTAAACTTGAAATGCAAATTCTCGTCGTCGGTGCGCAGAACCAGTTTGTGGGTTTTTTCTCGCTTCCGGGCTTCAAATTCTGCATAATCCATCTCTTTGTGTAATTGTTTATATTTTAAACAAAATGCTGCTATGCACACAATGCTTAAGATATTTGAACGAGGTTCTTGATTATTATTTAAATTTGAACTAATTTTCTTACAATTAAAAAGCGGACTTCCAGTACGACTATTCTATACTCTGTCAGCAGACCCTATAGGTGCTCGGTTGAGTTAAAAACTATACAAACTATTGAATTGAAAGACGACACCAAATCTTGTAGAGCACTTATTCTGTGTCTCCATTCGAAAAAGAAGCAAATTGTTAAACAGAATCAGTCTGTTTTCAAAGTTGTGCGCTTTAAATTGTCTTTCGTAAATATCGGCAATAGAGGGTTGCATGTAAGCATTCAGACATTCGTCAGCAATTTAAACGAATACTTCTTCAAAGTGTAATGAGAACGCCCCTACAATATTCTTCTTGCAAAGATCTCCACGAAATAGAGTCCGTGCGTGTTAGAGCGAGTAAGAGAGATCTTGCTATTGTCTGTCTTGCTCGCCGCCTAACGCTGCGCTACTCATAACACAGTAGGGCCCTATGCTCTGCTGCCTGTTCTCTTATTTTCCCCACTTGCCTTCAACTCAGTCAGTCAGTCAGTCAGTCAGTCAGTCATTCAGTAGTGTTTTCTCATATTTAACCAATAAATGGGTATTTCATCATTCAGGTACTTATATTCTTCTAAAGCGAATGAGTAGAATATGGAACAGAACAGACTCCAACATACAAATGCAGTCATGCGGATCTCTAATACCAATATTTAAGAATTCGATTGAACTGCGGATTCGAATTTGTACAATATTCGAAATTCTGAAACACGAGCTCTGGAGCTCTCTAATCAGTTATTTGCGATGCTGTAGTAGCAAATTTAGAAGATTTGTAGATAGATAAGGCCAATATCAATCCATATCATATCCATAGCCATATCAATCAAGCGCTATTATTCTATAGCTTGAAGAGAACTGTAGATATGAGAAACGTTGATAATGCTTTCAAATTTAGAGCTTTAAGAGCCAGCAATTGATTTCGCATGTAAACATGAAAGATATATTAATGCGGTTAATGTCGATATGTTGGGAAAACTGCGAGAATCTACAAAAAATTCATGAGAGCTGTAGGAATATTTTTAGCAATGTTTGTCATTGAAAATGGAGTTGGAAAGCGAATTTATTATTATTTAATACCTGACAAATTATTGTGCACAGTAAAAAGGGTATTTTTAGAATGCATCTCCGACCCCATTCTTAATCTGCATCATTAGACAAAGCGATTAAGTCATGACCGTCCGTTCGTTCGTCTGTCTGGATGAACGTCCTGATTTCTGCAACCGTTGAGTCCACATTCATCAAACTTGTTATGTGAACATTACACGTTCTTAGGCAATACGAGTTTATGTTTTGATTACAAACCTACAGAAACTTCATTTGTAAATATATGTTAATCTCCATCTCTCCAAATTGGGCAAATTGAACTGTATTTCAGGTTTAACTTGTTGCAGGCGCAAAGCCTAGTCAGACTCCCCAATAGCAGTAACAAATCGGTTACAGAGATATTAGTGGAATCCGTTTTTGTTGAGTCACTCTTTGTGAAACGAAAAAACATCAAATCAAATTCCCTAAGACGGATACCCTGCAATATACATACTTATGTTTTATGTACCGATTCAATAGGTGAGTTAGTCATAACGCCATTGAAATTCTTCAAGCTGGTGTTATTAATATACGAATTATTTATTGTTGAGAGTTTGGTGAACGGGAGGACCATTATTATGATTTGCATTGTTTCCTATTGAGAGACCTGTGAATGGGAAACCATCTGTATGGCTCTGGCCATGCCGGTTATGCAAAGTAGGAACCATATTTTTTAAAAATTCTTTTTAATTTTCTTTACTTTTCAACTATCGAATTATTATATAAGTGTATATATACATACATGCAAAAAAAAAAAATTAACAAATAATTTATGGCATTATGTTGGATTGTCGTTTGGGTGTTTTGTGGAAGTCGTCGGAGGTCCAAGCAGGACGGTGTCTGTGCGTGTGAATTGCCGTTCCTCCGTAGTTTGTACTACTAAGATGGTTAGGGAGTGGTACACCTGCGAGCCGATTAGTAGGCCGGTGGTCCATAGGTTTGGGCGGGCACGTGACCGACGGGCAAGGCTGGCTCCGGAACGGGCAGGCTTAGGACCGGTGGGGGGGCGAAAATGGGGGCGGGCGCAACATCTGGAACGCTGAGAGCAGGTGTAGGGGCATAAGTCTGGGCGGGTGCGCTGTAGACGGGAGCTGGAGCGGCTACGGGAGCGCTGTAGACGGGAGCTGGAGCGTTATAGATGGGAGCTGGTGCGGCAACGGGAGCGCTGTAGATGGGGGCTGGAGCGGCCACAGGTGCGCTGTAGACGGGAGCTGGTTCGGCAACGGGAGCGCTATAGACTGGAGCTGGAGCAGAGATGGGAGCGCCATAGACCGGACTTGGGGCTGCGATGGAAGAGCTGTACGCCCCCGATGAGGTATCAATGCCAGCACTATAAACGGGAGCAGGTGCGCCAATCGAAACACCACCCGACGCCGAATGCTCGTGGATGACGCGCACCACCTTAGTGACACCGCCGCCGATACTGCCGCCGCCAATGAAACCGGTTGCCGGAGCCACATTGCGTTCGTGCAACACCTTGATGACCTGCGGTGCACTCTCAACGTAGCCGCCGGCATAGCCACCCGAAGAAGATTCCTGGTGCAACAGCTTGATGACCTTGACGGGGGCGGGCGCACTGTAAACGGGTGCCGCCGCTGCGCCACTGGAGATCACCTTGACTTTGTAGATCTGGTGGGAGGGCTCGTAGCCGTAGCCGCCGGCGTAGCCACCGCCGCTATAACCACCACCCTGCTGGTGAATGACTTTCACGACTTGGACGTTGCCGTGTCCGCCGTGGCCGCCATGTCCGTGACCGCCACCGCCATAGCCGCCGCCGCCATGCCCGCCACCACCATAACCACCACCGCCGATGCTGCCACCCTTTAGGCTGCCACCACCGCCGCCGCCACCACCGCCACCGCCACCTCCTAAGAGACCCAGGAAGCCGGCATTGGCCACAGCGAACAGTGCACACATACACACAAACACCTGCAACAGATGGGGTGAGAGAGAAGAGGATTAGTGGATTGGGGGGATTGGAGGATGTGGACCAGCGGTCGGTCTTGAAGACTCACCTTCATGTTAACACCTTTCCTTGACTATTTTCTTTTGGGGGGAGGAGGAGGGAGACTAGACGACTTCCGACAGATGTCCCAGCTGAGGTGCCAAAAGTCTTACTGATGTCGGTTGGATGGCGCCAGCACGCTTTTATACGATCCACAGTTTCCACAACATGATCGCCGATGTTAATGATAATGATGATGATACATAATTATTCAGTTTTTACACACAGACATGCCGAAACATATATTTAAATTAGCAACCACACACCACACCAGCAGCCGTACGGATTTCCAATGCACCCGCAAACAACAACAACAACAACAACAACGATGAGGCAAAACAAAAGCATTTCATTAATAAATTCAACAAACACAAGAAGCAAAGTTGGCATCATAATCATCTTACATCCATCCATCCAGCCATCCATCGAGCCGGCCGTCCATTGATGATGCAAATACGCCAGCGGCTTTCAATTTCATTGAGCGGCCAGCGCTGACGTCGCTGCCGCAGCCGCTGCCGCTGCCGCCGCCGCGCCCATTTGTCGACGCCGCGGCATCAAAACTTTTTATGCGCCTCATACAAATTCTTCTTCATTTCCATTTCCAATTCCAGTTGGCCGGTCCCCGATTTCGTAAAGCCTTGCGTTACATCCACAATCGGCCATAATCGTCTCTTCGATCAGGTCGTGATCATAACTTAGTGCTCCCATCCCCATCGCCATCGCCATTTCCCTCCTAACTGCATTTCCGAAATTCCGAAATCTCATTATTATCTCTGTTTCTGTTTCTGTTTCTGTTTCGAAACTGTGATTGTGATTGTAATTGTGGGGGCTGCGACTGCGACTGCGACTTTGGCTTTGGCCAACTCGATTCGCCTCGACTCTACATTTGAATCTGCATTTGCATTTATGGCTGATAAGGCGCGGCGATAACCAACAACAATGGGCTTGTCATGCATTTACGCACACACACACACACACACACACACATACATATTTGTATATACTTATTAACAATTTAATGCATGCCGTTTGTTGTTCAGCCACTGCCATTGCCACTGCTGTTGCCTCACTGCCCCCTGCTCGCACAGTGGGCCAAATGGCAAGTCCAGCTGAAAAAGATTGCACATTTTCGAAAACAACACAATTCTGTTTTTACACGGTAGATTGGATCCAGAACCAACCGTGTAAAAAAAGACATCGATCATGTGCAAAAATAGGTGATTGGTTCCTTATCTCTAAAGAAATACAAGCATATAGGAAATTTTTCATTTTCAAACCGTGTTATATCAAAATCGTGTAAAAAAAGACCGTGTAGAAACAGAATTAGGTGTATTCCGGTTTGCTACACATATATTATCAATTAAATGAAAACACAAACGTGCTTTGGAAATTTATTATTTGTTTTTCTCATTTTCTTTGTTATACTAAATTTATTCATGCTTTCATTAAAGTTTTACTTACTTTTTTATTATTCACTTTTTTTATGGTTTATTTATTTTCGTATTTTTGTTTTCATTTTATAATGCTAGCTTAAAATCCAAATCTTAAAACTAATCGTAGTCGTTGTGTTAGCAATAGCTTCCGGGGTCTTCAACCAATTTATTGTACAATTATGTTTTTATTTTTTTTTTGCATTTTTTTAATTAAGTTATATTGTTGTATCAACCACTACAAACCGATCAAACCGATAGATAGAGTCTAGGGATTCAGAAATATTTGCCGCAGTTCGTGATCGACTGTGTGGAATCAAATATTCAGTCGGCGATCGATTCGGCCCACTGTGGAGTGGAGGCTCGTTTGCTGACCATTACGGCCCACATGCCAACACATTTTCAAGGTCTGCATCCGAATCTGAAACTCAGCATGCGCCGCGCTTTTGTTCCCAAAAATGTTGTCAACCACACACATACATACAAGGGACAGACAGACAGACAGACAGACTGGCAGACAGATGGATGGACAAAGAGACTCGTTACATAAGATCGACGCGCTTCAAATTTAATAGACGTGCCTGCAGATGCGCCACACACATACCCACACATGTCTGTCTATCCGTCCGTCCGTCTGTCTGTCTGTCTGTCCGCCTGTCTGTCTGTTTTTTTGTAATCGTAAAAGAGCCCAAAAGCCGCCTATAGTTTGTGTTGTAAATCGTAAACGTGGGGTGTTAGTGTTGCCAACAAAAAGCGATTGCAACCTGAGGCCGGCTGGTCGCGCGCCCCGAGGGTCAACAACTGGCTGTGTGGGAAAAAGCGAGATTTATGCAACTTCGAGCACCAAGAAGCCGACGCTGAATGACCATCCATCTTGCAGGCACCCTATGTAGATCCCTTGTAATTGATTATGGGAAAGTATGCTCCACTTTGAAATTGCGCTTCTATTACTTCCCATTATTTTCCCATTTCAAAAACTGGGCTCAGAAAGATAATTGTTTCGATTGACGGGAGCTGGTTTCAATAAAACTTCTGTTAAGCATTGAAGAAGTAAGTTAAAAAAAAAAAAAGATTTCTAATCACTCGCAAAACTAAATTAAGAACCTACGCATCATACTTGTATGTAAAATCGATTCTACCGTATGGATGCGAAACGTGGCGACTATATGGAAACGATCTGAACAAACTCCTGACGCATTCAATAACAAGTGTCTGAACGATATAAACCGAGCTGCGTTCGAATGGAGTCCCCAGAGAGTAGAGGAAGAGGGAGGAGAACTGTGCCTCCAGAATTGGATACCATTCGAACCACGTGGGTACAACTAAAAACATTAGCTTTAAATATAATTACTTGTACAAGTAGATTTCGTAGTTGCTTCCAAGTCGAGTGAATAAGGGGATTTGAGAAAAAAATAAATCTTTTCAGATTGAAGTTTTTATCAGCCAAATGGGGTAGATCCCCACACGAAAGAATATAAAATAGAAATATTATAGTCGAGCAGCCCAGCGCATAGCAGAAGTACTCTTATATAAGATGAAGAAGAGGAGCGAGCCCGGTTCCTATAACTATCTGATTTTAATCAGTTTTAACTAGAGGTAGAGAATTAAATATGGAAAGTCTAGTTTTTGTTGCTTTGAAGTTGTGGGCAGGAGGGCGAAAGGGCGAAATAAATAAATTCGTTTGCCTGCGGACTAGGCGAGTCTACATAAGAAATTTAGTCAAAATATAGTAAGTGTAACAGTTTCAGAAATCCAGGCAGACAGTCGTACCAACGGACAAGTCTAGGAATATATGTTATTCATATATCTACGAAACTAAAAAACTATTTCATTATTAATTAATTGTACTGCGTTTATTTAAAATAACTTAAAAGCGTGCTTATGGAATTAACAAATTCATTTTATATACTCATAGTGGATAAAAATCTATTGGTAGTGTCGACCGGATGGGATCTCTTTAGACTCCTCCTCATGGGTCCGGATTTGCCCCATGTTCTGCGCAGCTAGCTCGTTCCTGACGTCACCAACTTTGGATACTCCTTGGATACTCATGTAGCAGTCAACAAGCGTAATGTTTTCGCTTGCAGGATTCGCATTTTCCCTAGGTGGGATTTTGTAACGATTCCGTAAACCTGAAAACCATGTCGCCAGGTAGGAGCAATACACGATTTCAATAAAATGACTATTTTTTCTAATTTGGTTTATTCTGTCACTCGGGGTCCCTGTTCGCCCAAGTACTTGTAGCTGTTGACTTGCTCCAACAGCTGGTCCTGCAAGCAGACGCCAGGACATAGTTTCACACTCCAGCATAATATCTGTGAGATGAGCACGTCCTTCGTACTTTCAATGGGGATCCTAGAGCGTATCGTATGTGTACAGGGTATACAGAATGGGCCCCGTTTCAGAAAGGAATGAGATAAGGCCATTTGCCAAGGACATCTACTATGCTGTTCTTATCCTTGAGTATCAGCCACAGAGACCCAATTAAAACGATGTTCCAAAATGGATTTCTGTGTGTGCAAAACAAAGCGAGTAATAAAGATTCTAATGATAAGAAATTAAAAATTACTATTATTGTAAAGTACAAGTATGTTAATGCAAAATTAATTGTTATTTTACTTTGTAAACAAATTAATTTATTAAGTAATTAAAAATACTTATAATTAAATAAGTGTTTAGTAATAAGAAATTAATCAAAACTTTTATTATAAAATATGTTAATACAAAATTAATTGTTTATTGCTGTTCCTGTTCTTCTATTTGTAAAAGGAGCTGTCATTTATCCTTAAAATTGTCAGTTACATTAAGGCAAATATTTTATACAGTTCTTTTTTTTCAAATAAAACAACTTTTAAAAGATAACAACCTTTCTTATTTGTTTTTATTGATTTGCTGCAGGAAGTAGGTCCTGAATCCTTCAATTTCAGGCAAATATAAATCAGCAGCAAGTCCTAAAAAGTGACCTTTTTTATTTGCATTCATTTGTACCGCTGCAACTTATTTATTTTCTTATTTATCTAATAATAAATTGGTTTGGAACCGGCTGCAGTTAAAAAAAAGGGTAGCATATCAAACAGGGGCATTATTAAATGTGGAATTTTTAGAAAATTCCTCTTGCTGCTGATTTATGTTCGCCTGGTACATCAGATTTTGGATTTTAGCATTTGCAAGCGATTTGATAATTTTCTTAAAAGCCGCAGCTGCCCTCGGTTTTAGTTTGCAAACTGGCATATTTGCTACGTACTAGGCGAACATAATTCAGCAGGAAGATGATTTTTTAAAAAATTTAAAAATAAATGTAAGCTAGGCTTCAAACCATTTTTCAGCCGGACCTCAAACCAATTTGACAGATTGGTTTGAGCCCCAGCTGCAAAATGGTGTGGAGCCCGGCTTACATAAAAAATTGTGGCATACTTTTAGGCAGCCGAATTTAATTTTAAATTTAAAAAAAATTCACCTTGCTGCTGGTTTCTGTTCGCCTGGTACTTCAGATTTTGGATTTTAGCAATTGCAAGCGTTTTGGCCATCGGTCAAACTGAATATTTTGTATTTATGAGACAGCTATATGAGTCCTTTCTAAACCCACCCTCTTCACCCCCCCTCACCAACCACAATAATAAACACATGAAAAATTTATTTTTAGTCGTTTTTATTTTCTTTTACGCAAAAATTTAATCTATTAAGTATTATTAACGTAAATTAAATACGGACATAGCAAAATTAAAGATAGGAGATAAATATACACGAAAAAGGACATCATTATTTTATTAATATTATACATTTTATTATTATTATAATTTTTGTTATTATTTCATTTAATTTAATTCCTTCGTGTTGCCAGCCCTTCGTGTCGAACATGAAAAAGGACATCCATTATTATAAATGCATTGTATACATATAAATAAATACATACATATATATTTTATTATTAATTTTATAATTAATCTTATAATTATTATAATAAAATCAATTCCTTCCTGTTGCTCCTCGTGGCTTGAACTTTCCATGGCCATTCTAATTAATAAAACCGGCTTCAGCTCGAGACTTAATCTGCCGTTGGCTGATCGCAGGATTGTCCTTGGTGTTTTGTTTGAAAATTTGAAATTGTCGGGGAACGAAACTGTACTGTACTTGCACTTCAGAAGTAACTCACCCGTTGTGACAATTGGCTTTTCGTACTCCTGCCAGCAAAATTGATTGAAAATTGTTGGAAAATTTGACAAAAATATTCTTCAAAATGTTGGAAAATTCGTTAACAAAGAGATGCTATTTCGAAGAAGGGAGGAGCTAGTACCAACTAATTAGCATTAAAAATGCTTTAAATTATTAGGAATAATTTAAGCCATTGAATAATACCTGCCCATTAGTATGAACTAAACGATGTAGAAAGAGGTGGAATTACCGAAACATCAGAGTCCAAGGAAGGAGATCTTAATGTTTTTATTTGTGTGCTTTTAATCCCCGATGCTCTTCAAAAATTCAAGGCATTACTATAATCCGCTGTTTCCTTGCACTTAATATAGCAAATGTTCTGCCTTAACCCTCGAATCGTTTCTATCCTGCAGAAGTATCCTTTTCTCTTATTCCTATGTTAATCCTTTGACAGACTCTGAGAAAGTTTGGCTTCAATCTATGATCTTCATATTTACAATCATTTTATTGGGGGTTTCAAAAAAAATGGGTTAGTTGGGAATAAAATAAAGGAATACATGTAGAGAAAAAAAATTGATAATTGTCGACTTCTTCGCTGCTGCTTTACTTCTGCTTCAACCAGCCGCCATAGGAGAGGGGACTCTCGTAGACATGGCCGACGTGTCCGACGCGGACCACCGAGGGAACAACGGAGCGACGCACATAGACTGGCTGGACAACGCGAACGGGGACGGGGACGGCCACAGGCTCGACCACGCGTTGGACGACGGGCACGGGGACGGCCACTTGGCGCACCACTGGCACTGTGGCCAGAGACAGGCCACCGCCGTAACCACCAGCGTAGCCACCGCCGTAGCCGATCACGCTGCCGGATGTCATGGCCAGACAGAGGGCAGAGAGCAGGAGGCAGACAGTGTAGAACTGGAAAAGAGAAAGGCGCTGAGTCGGGCTTGATTCGAACCCATGGATCGCTGTACTAACCTTCATGATGTTGACTCAATGGATTGTTTGGATACTGCCTGGTAGTTGGCTTGATTGCTCGGAGATTTGTGATGAGCTGTGAATCAAACATTCGCTTTTATAGACCGCAGCACCTAGAACCTTGTCAACGATTCGACTGTAGACTGTAGATTGTAGATCATTAAAATCGGCAGAGCGCAGAACCAGCTTTACTTTCAAATCAAAAGAAGACTCCCAACAATGCTATACATGCGATAGATATATTCAATATTGTGCTATACATAATATGATTTTGATGGTCGCATTATTATTTGTATTTGTATTGATTGATATACCCTTCACTTAAAGCCGACAGGTAGCTGTATTTCGCTTGTAGTCGCTTCTTACGACAATTGTGGGGACAAAATCGTATTCAAAAAGAAGAATTGCTTAATTGCTTGATGAAACAATTTGCCTTGATAGGCACATTTTTGTGGTTTTCTATATTCATATTTAATAGAACCCGACATTGCTTATTTGTTATTATTTTATTATATTATTAACAATTACATCTAATTACCAATGAGCAGTGTTATTGAAGTGAATTTTATGTCTCCTTTCATCCCTATGAAGCGATAACAAAGATATCAACAGATACTTTTGTTTGCTGTAGTTCAAATAATTCTAAAAGTATTTTCAATTTTGAATTCTATACTCGTATATTATTTCTGGTAATTGAGAGACGAAGTGGTCTGGTGTCTGGTTGAAGAACAGCTTAAACCTTCTGCGCCCTTCCTAACAATGAGTTATCTTAGAAGAATCTCTGCTCCGCCTTTGGAGAAAGTTAGTCATTTGGGTGGCTTGGGAAGAACTTAGGCTCATACAAAGGAGACATAACTCCGGCAGCGAAGAGATATACGAGTAAAACCTTCATCAAATATGGACAATAATTTGTTTTAGGGACTCTCAGTCACAAAGGTTTCTTCATAAATCTGAGCTAAGTTTAGCTTCTACTCCACTGAGCTAAGACTATTATGAAGAGTTATGAAACGATGTTGCAACCTGTTGTGCCGATGGTGAAAAGATGATCGAAAGTTGAGAAAGCAAACAACAAACAGAAGAGATGACAAGAGAGAAGTAAGACAAAGAAACTGAGAATTAGCCAAAAGCTTTGGATGCTTTGAACAACAATTAATGATGAAGAAATTCGTCTCATAATTAATAACCGGGAGGGTACTTTATTTCGGCACAGCCGGAGGTAACGTTCTAGATTTGTATTTGATCTTGTTTTTGATTTCTGACGTCGCCATCGCCATTGCATATAACTAATCAAATGTTTGACGCACTCCCAACAGAAGCATACAAAGAAAACGGAAAACAAAAACCAAAAACCCACAATACGCCTAGAATAAAAGAAGAACTCGTTCCCGCCATCATTTTCCGTTCCGTTCTGTTCTGTTCTGTTCAACATGAATATCTGCGAATGGGCGAAGCTCATTTAATTCATTCTATTCATAATCGAAGCTGCGCCAATCTGTATTCCTTATTCTGTAGGCTCTTAAAATGAATATGTAAATAGGAAGCACACACTTTCAAACTGAAAGATGAAAATCAAAAGTATCTACGCTATTTTTGTATCCAACGACTAGGCGAATAATCAAGAGTTTCATCTAATTGATTTGTAACATTGGTAGCTCCGAGTTTCAGCTAAAGATTGGAGATGAATCGAAGTGTAGTCGGACATCTGTCTAGGCTAGGCAAAAGTAGAAGGTTTCCTCTTCTCTATGAGAAGAATGTTGTATGAAATGAGTCCAAGGCTTAATGGAGAGATGAAGATGCCTCTAATGTCTCTAATTGGATTGGATCGTTAAGTGCAACTTTCTAGTTGCTACCTACAACTAAATATGACCTCAGAGGCAGTTGGAATTGTGTGGGCAGCTCTCAGCTTTCAGATCAATTATAAAATAAAATCAATTTCAATCAGCGCTAATTAAAAATTACTTCAGTTAATAATGAGAAACGGGTTCACTATTCGGCTGTTAAAACGTGGTCGGTAATCTAATTGTTGTGTACAGTGGGCCAGCAAATTCAAATCAGTTCTCAAAAAAATGCATTACTCCATAAAATGAGGTAATGTTTTGAAGCCTTTAGTCTTTTTTTCCATTCAGTATAACTATTTCTAAAATGAAAATTGATCGATTGATTTTTTGTTGCTAAACTTGTTTCTTTTCTCGATGTGGCCGATTCCAAATAATCCAAATGCTATAGTGTAGAAAGAAAACTACTTGTATAACTAGAAAGGTTGGGAATTACTGGATACGAAGGGGGAAAGAGCGAAACGACTTCGAACATGCTTTGAAACGAACGAATGGACAGTCGGACATGTCTATATCGATTCGTGGCATTATGCTGATCGTATACCTATAAGATGGAATCTGCCACGCCTCCAACTGCCTTCTTATATACCCTTGAAACGTCGGGTTCAGGGCACAATCAATTTCTGTGGAAACTATTACATGAATGGCATTTGATGAGCACCTACTTGTATGTGTTATACCATGAGAAGATATTTTTGTTACCCAACGGACCGATCTTTCGATCAGTTGAGAACCCAATAGGTGTTAAGAAACGAGTAACGCCCTGAAGCTAAGCCAACAAAGATAATTTCTCAATCTCAATGCAACAATAAAGACCATGAAACAGTTTCGACTCATACGATTTCTCTTTTCTTTAATAAATGCATAACTTAAAATAATTTAAAAGGTGACGAAAGTGAGGTTGAAGTTCAAGATGAAAAAAAGAGTATAGGAGGGCGATGGAACTTACAAGCTGTTTTGTACTTTGGTCACAAAGTAATGATGAGGATGAAAAAAAAAACAACACTATAGTATAATAATAATAAAAAAAAAGTTATCAAATTTGTTTGAACTAGCTAACTAATGGGGCGCCTACCAGCCGGAGGGCGCTGGGGCGGGGGCTGGGTGCGAGCTCCAGCCAGAAGGCGCTGGAGCGGGGGCTGGGTGCGAGCTCCAGCCGGAACCGCCGCCATAGCTTTGTGTCTGGTGTGACTGCTGATTGTCCTGGACGCGCATCACCTTGAGGGTGCCGCGTTGCACCACATGGCCGCTCTTGAAGAAGGCGCCCTGCGCCTTATCGGCGCGCATTATGATGGCCTTGCCCTTGAGGCCGAAGGTGTCGATGAGCTGCTGATTGTAGGCGGCATCGTTGCCTCCGTAGCCGCCGCCACCACCCCCTAGGGCGTCCTCCTGCAGCACCAGCTGTATGATCTGTGGCAGTATGGCGTTGAAGTCTTGGCTGCCGTGAGAGCCATGACTGTGGCCCGAGTAGCCGGAAGCGTACGAATAGCCGCCGCCGCCTCCGCCACCACCTCCATAGGCCACATGCAATGGTGCGGGTGCAGCTTGCTCGATGATCTTATAGATCTGCGCCTGGGGCTGGGGCTGGGGCTGAGCATAGCTATAGCCGTGGCTGACGGCGCCAGCACTGCGGCCGCTGTAGCCACCATAGCTAGGACCGTCCTGGAGGATGACTTTGATGACTTGGGGGGAGGAGGAGACGCTGCTGCTGCCATGTCCATATGCTTGAGCATATCCTCCACCGCCATGTCCGTATCCATGACTAGGCGTGGCTATGACATTATAGGTGGTCTTGCTTCCGCCGCCTCCTCCTCCACCACCACCACCGCCACCGCCGCCGAACAGCGATAGAAATGTGGCATTGCAGAGACAAACTGTGCTCAGTAGACAGATGAATACCTAGACGGAAGAGGGCAGGAAGTGCAGGAAATGCATTTATAATCCATCGCATCCGGCAATTGAGTTGAATGGAGTGGAGTGGAGTTGGGTTGAAAACTCACCTTCATGTTCGTTGCGTTTCCAAAATCGGGGAACGGACTCTAAAGCGACTGTGTGTGTGTGACCGCCGCTGCTCGACAACCAAATGATGGCACTTTCACGCATTTCCTCAACTTTTATACAGCCTCCAATTCCGTCTACCCTACATCTGCAACTTGCAACAACTCTGCTGCCTCCGCTGCTGCTGCTGCTGCCCATGCTGATGATAATGATGAGATTATTATTGACGAAATTGGCCAGCAACAACCACACAAACAACAAGACCAACAACAACGAGCAGAAGCAGAAACGTACCCGTAACTCGGCCGGACCATGCTTGAAGATGCGAACAGAGCGATAGAGATACACGCGATACACGAGATATACACGCATAAGTGGACGAACATTGTGGTAGGTTAACGAAATGCCGCTGCTCGCACACATAATTTATCCGAAATGTTTGAAAACATTTGAGCTGCACCATACAGGGTGATGCCCATAGATGTGGGCCCATTCATTAAATATACCTGTAGTATACTCCATAAATGAGCTCAACAGCTAGCGCAGCAATACAGTTCCTCTAGCCAAGTGATTGATGAACTTTCATTTCATTCCAAAATTCTGTCTCTCAGCTTATCTATTTTCCTTACTTCTTCTTTACAGCAACTACGCGTACACGCCCCACAAGAGTCAACTTGTGCCTTCTGTTCGACTGTATGAGAGCAAGTTGCTCGGAAGGTAGTGAAGATGAAGCTACCAGAACTTATAAGTAGGCCCTTCAAAGCATTGTAAGCGGCAAGTTTATGTTTTTAAACGAATTATGCTTTAAAACTCGCGTTCGTTCAACAAATACCAAATCAACTGGACAGCGACTGTTTGAACATAGACAACTCGAAAGGTGTCAGCAGAATTGGTGTACGAACTCTTCTAACCAAAGTAACGAACAAGTTTAAGTTTTCAATCGGAAGTGGCATCTAAAACTGCGCAGTTTCTCTGCTTAGAAAAGTAGAAAAACAGCACAATTTTAACTTAATAATTCCTTCACTGAAGTTAACCCAACCCAAAAGACAGTTGCTCTGTGCAGCAATGGTTTCCAGATATTGGCACCTACAGAAATCGCCCTAAAACTTGAAAAATTTGCCTTGAAATATATGGGTATGTAGCATGTTATTGCTTCTTGTTTCTTGTTAAAAATGAGAGGTTTTTTAGTGGGAATAGTCCTGGGAGAAGAATTTACGATAAAACTATAAATTTATAAGAAACACGATATAGGGTATAGAAAGAGTCTATTTTATACATCATGTATAAGAAAGATAAAAGGTAAAGCGATATACGGGATAAAAGAGCTGTACGAAATATTATAAATAATATAGATACTTGTATGTATAAGACATATACGAGAAGAGATATAAGAGATAAAACATATGTAAGAGACAAAGCAGGTATTGAAGACAAAAGACGAATAAGTGACTTAAATAATAAATTGCACATAAAAGAGATATAAAATAATACTTATATTTAAATCAAATAATACAAAGTAAGTAAAACACTAGAAATGAAACTGGGCCAAATTTCAAAGAAGAAACAAATTAGGTGAATCAAAAAAAAATGAATTGGGAGAAATGAATAATAGAATTACAACTAGCTCGATTAATAACTATTGTTTACGGGCGCCAAACAAAGTCGTTGAAAGCTCACCCTATATGCTCGCCGAGATGTGTGCTTCGGCTAGAAATGCTTCGAATAACAGGCGCACACATTTTTGTTAGCGAGCGACTGAAGGGCCGACCAACCGGATTTTTGCATATAATTATTGAAACTTATTATTGAAACTGCGGAACCATTGGTCCAATGGTCTGTTTGTTGTTGTTGCTGTTGCTGTTTGTTGCAACAACTTAACTGTCGATTGGGCCAATGGATTATATCATATGTATTTATATTGTGCGTCGCGTCGCGTCGCGTCGAAGCTACTCACAAAACTCGTTAGTTTTGTGCATTTTTGTAAAAATTATTTAACGCTTTGCCTCTCTTTTTCGTTTAGGGTCAATACAACAACAAGTTCAACAACAACACCAACATCAGCAGCAACAGTTATTGGAAGCTATGCAAGAAATTAAATATGTACAGGGGTTTGCCATTTTATCACCTTATGGTGTCACAGCATCATTCCGACATCAATTATTTATCTGACAGACTGTATAATTGAAAAAAATAAGAGGCTAATGCCTTCCCCTTTGCTGGTGTTCTCTGCGATTCTCAAAATAAGTAAAGCGCTCTTTGAAATCTGGTAATCCGGTGGACTGAGCCACCCAGTTTCCCATAAAATATGAATATATGAAATGATCAATAAATTAATGGAGCTATGACATAAGCTGTCATCCATTATGGATGCTCAATGTGAAATATTACTCTGATTATTACGAAAATACACATTTTAGGCAATCAATATTGAGCGGAAATCGATATGCAAATAAATGTTTCGAATTAATGGCACTTTGAATAGCACTTGAATGGGGTGGAGCCTCAATTTTAATGATGAAATCAATTCTTTACTACCAGAGTCATCAGCTAAGGAATTACAAACTCATTAGCATACATTAAGAGTAGATGATTATGAACTATTTTCGAAGCTAGCTCTAACTTTTTTGAGGCAAGTAGATTAGAGATGAGAGACGTAGATCTGTTGTTGACGAGTGTAGAACAGTAGATGATCTGAAATATTGACAAACGTTGAAAGGGGTGGAGAATGTTAGGCTCCTAGTGATGAAATAAATTCTTTACTACAAGAGCATTCAGTTGAAGAATTACGAACTGATTAACATACATGAACATTAGATGATTATGAACTATTTTCGAAACTAGTTGCAACTTGTTTGAGGCAACTACAAGTAGATTAGAGATGAGAGACATAGATCTGTTGTTGACGAGTGTAGAACAGTAGATGATCTGAAATATTGACAAACGTCATACTGTACTAGTGTTTACAACTCTTCCGTTTGTAAGAGCCAAATAATTTACTGTCTTTCTTGTAACTAAATTCCTTATTCTAATGATCTTATTGGATCATAAATAAATCATACATCGTTACCTTCTTAAAATATAAAAGGCACGCATTGCCAAGTCGAAGTTATTTATTAGAAACACTTAGAGTTCCGCGTAAATAAAGACTTGACTATCAAAGTATCATTATATATGTTGAGACACATGTATGTTATACAAGTACATATATACAATTTAATAGCTACATATGTTTTGGTTACGCCGACCTCCCCCCCTCTCCATCTAAATAATTTAATCAATAGCGCTCCATCAATTGCGTTCTATGTATGTTGTTTTTTATTTATTTTTTAAAGATCGGGCCAACGCGCTGTTGGTTGACCTTAAAAATAGTCGACAATTTTGTTTTAAAAAATATATTGCATTTATTGTAAGTACATTCGTTTTTATTTGTCAAAATTTTGTAGAAAAAAAATAGTTCTCTCCTTGTATAGCTACTAACAATGAACAATGTGTTTGTTGATTGAAAAACCAGTTGCCATGCAAAAATATTCTCAATACTTGTAGTTTCTCATATTCGGTTTCTCGGGTTCTTCTTCTTACTTATAGTATTTCATTATTCTATACACATAGGCGTACTACTTGTATGCTCGTAGTATGTAGGTATTATTGTTTGTTTAGTTTCCTTGATTAGCGTTCGAGGTACCCACCCACGGCTCCCTGATATACCAAAACCAGTTTTCTTTAGTTGCTAGCCTTAAATAGTTTTGTAATTCTTACAAGTATGTGTAGATATACACGTACTTGTATAGGTTGGTATTTCGCGATTCACTGTAATTTGTTGACTCAAGCAGTGCCAGTCTAGGGGCAATATCTCTAAGCATGCCAGAGTAGTGCTCGTTAATACTACTTGTATTTACAACATTTTAAAGCTATGTAAGTACACTTGTTTCCTAATTACACAGCACGGCAGTACGCTCCGGTACCAAGACCTGACATTCCCAAACTTAAGATAGTAGTTGAAGCTTCCTTAATCCTTAATCACACAACAGTACTTACAAATAAACGCCAGAACGAAAACAAGAAAGGAATGCTAAAGTCGAACAGGCTCAACTCTTAAATACCCTGTACCACCCCACAAAAAAGTAATTTAATTAATTAATTAATTTAATTTAATTAATTAACTAAATTAATTTAATTAATTAACTAAATATTAACTAATTAAATATAAAATATTCCATGCATGCATACATACATTTACATTTACATCAGAATCGTGCCTTATGCGTGTTTGTGTACTTGTACATATGTATGTATGTGTGCATTGGGCCTGGTTATATGGCTATAACTTTCTTTTTGATCATTCTATCATAATGAAACTTGGTATACGGATATATAATTACTAACCTAATGTGACTACCAAATTTAAGTTTAAAATTCCAAGAATTATGGGAGTTATAGAAAATTGGTAATAGGGGGGGAGTGGGGGGTTGGATCAGAAAAAATGAACAAACTTGTCCTTTCTCGGTCTCAGGAGAATCTGTATACCAAGTTTGGTTATTCTAGCTCTTATACTTTCGGAGATCCTTGCGTTCATACAGACAGACAGACGGACAGACAGACGGACAGACAGACGGACAGACGGTCAGACGGACAGACGGACATGGCTATATCGACTCGGCTTGTCATGCTGATCAAGAATATATATACTTTGTGGGGTCTACCAAGCCTCCTTCTGTGTGTTCCATGTGCACTCGCACAAAACTAATATACCCTTGTACCCTTTGGGTACAGGGTATAAAAAGACAAACGAAACCAACAACCCTAAGCTATAAGCGACAAATTTCGTAAAGCTCCTACATGGGTGCAGATTTGGCATTGTGAAGGTCTAGATCTATGCTCTATAAAGTAACTGCTCCTAAGTCTTAGTACGAGTATAAATGCTAAAAAACGAAACCGACTCTATCAAAAGTTATGCCTACATAAGTACTACAGCGACTAAGGGGAATACCTATTGTGAGTTCAAATGGCACCAACTTGAACAGATTAGAAAATTATTGTTTAAGAAAAGCAATTATGATGCTTTAGAAGGTGTTGGTTGGGAAATTTATGGAAATTATTGTCTATTTGCTGATATCTGCGAAATTTTTGTTTCCATCTGGGGAGCATACATTTATCGTATACATTATCGAGATAGGGAAAGAAGTTATACAAGTAGAGAGGATTGTGGCAATTATTTTGTATTTTCTGACAACTTCGATTGAATTTCAAGAGTTTTTTTAATTTGAATTTAAGTATAAGACTGTGTACTCTTTGGGGAATCGTGCTTACTATATATACTTGTATTCTATATAGGTACCATAAGAGTGCACATAAAGGCATTCATGAATATTGTCACTATACTTTTTACACAACCTTATACTAAAATGTAAGTAAATTGGCCCTGGGAATGGTATTGAAGGGAGAAAGGATTTCTGATTTGGAAAACATCTTCTTTACGTTATCCTCTTCATTTCGTCGGTCATTCCGATATTTTTGATTTTTAAATTGATATCGCATTTGCTGGTCCCTCCCATTTCATGAATAAAAATAAATAAAAAATATAGCTTAGCAATTATATAGCTGCATTAAATCAAACCTTATATACTATATACTTGTATATGTGTGTGCCACAATTCGTAGTGGTTATGAATTGTAATGCGGATGGCTGTATAAATGGGTACAAAATATTATCAGATGGGAAATAAATACTTGATAAAAAGTAGATTTGGTGGCATAATAAATTAAATTTAAAACAGAAACTTAGGCATTAAGTTTAAATAAAATCACTTTCATTGCATTTTCCTTTGAGTAGTAGGTTTGTGACCAACATATCTATAAATAGAGTACGCACCGACATCAAACATAGATATAGACGTTGATGGGGAAAAGAAAAGGCATGCCGCTCTTCGCTTTGATTAGGTCTTAAGCTGTCTTTAAAGTAAATATTTCATCCAAATTTGTCAATTATTTTCCTTTAAAATTCTCATCAAGTAATATCGTGCATTAGAACCAGTTCTACTTTGTTTCTATATTCCGCAAATATTTAACGGCAATAATTGTTTTAAAAATTCTCCACTACCTCTTCTTTTAAAAGTTTACAATTCTTCGAATTCGATTAGGAAGTAATATAATATCAGAAACTGGAGTCAGCTCAAATGTGATGAAGAAATTAAAACAATATCGAAGTTTAGGAAAATTGGAATCTGTTCCTTTAAATACTGTTATTACTGATGTAAATAATTGTTTTAAGTTCATGGAACAAAATCAACTTGGTGAAGGAACTAAAACAATATTGGAGTGAAAAAAATAACACCAATTATATTTTCTAATTATTTGTTTTCACTATCTTCAAAGTAAATATTGAATAAATTAAATAGATTTGCTGACGGAACTTAAAAATGCGGAGTGAAAAAAGAGCCTGTATTTTGTTGTAGGTGCTATCGAAAATATTTGACGCCAACAAGAAAAATTAGGTACTTTTAACTAGAAACGTATTTATTAATCGAGTAGGTCGTTCAAGTGCTTCCAGCCCCACTCTAACTTATAACTTAACTGAAATAAATTTTATTGTACCAACCAGCCCTGATCTTTAGATGGAATTTGCCTCAGATATTTTTATAAATAAAAAAAAGTTCTATATTATGCTTTGTTTCAGCTCTGTTCTTTCCTATTATAGCTGTATCGTGTAGTCCATCGATGTGGATGAAAATTTAGAATATTGTGTGGTACTCTACAAAATCTATAAGGACTACCTTGGACATCTTCATAGGTTATCTTACGAAGATTGATTTTCCAGCGATCAGTCCTGTAGCATCTATATAAAATAATGGTGTGCAATAAACTTGCAAGTTTGGTGTCGCTAGCTGTTAAAATTGAAGAGTTCTCGAAGTTCATACATTCGAACAGGAGAGCAGACAACCGAACAGACAGACGTATCATACGTATTACCTACATTTGACATTTAAGCTTTTTAGTATAGAATTGGAGCCTTGCTGGATATACAATGTGGAAACCAATGGAAATTAAAAGTCGAACAACATCCAAAATTATCCAAAAATATCTTAAGCCAACAACGAGAAGGTAGAAAGGACTGTTAGGGACTGTTACGGGTAGAGTTTAAGAGAAAACGTTCATCATATTATGGGGCAACTTAATTCACAGACACACAGTCATTCACTCCCACATACACACAAACCATTCATACCTATATCTAAATATATGCTAGTATACTATATGTGTAGGATACTTATGCACTATAGGTAGGCATACTAAACCTAATTCGGTTTGGGTTTTCAATTGTTTTTGCTTCTTGTTAGCAACTATTGCACCACAATTCCAATTTTTGGTGTTTTAAAATGTTACGGTTACGCTTACGGTTACGATTACTTCTGGTTTGTTTGTTTGTGGTTGAATTGTAACGATTGGTCATCTCTAGAGATTGATTGTGTCCAGGTCCTGGTAGGGAGCACGCGGACTTATGTCATTTGTGCCATCACTATTGCCCGTAGCGTTATCGCTGCCGCTGCCATCTCGAACAGCCGTTATGTCCGCCATGGACGAATGGTTATGATTGTAACGGGCATTGGTGTTGTTGTTGTTGTAAGCGTGTACCTTGCCCTGATTGTCCTCCGGGGGCTGTGAACTAAGACTATTGTGCAGCATTTGAGTTTTTTTGGTGCCCAGTCCGAGCGGAAAAGCAAAATCCTGTGGCATTTTGTGCATTATCTTGCCAGAAGTGATCAGACGGCCAAAGCCCTCCTGAAAGTGTTGAAAAAATCGGTACGCGTACGGGTACCGGAACCAGTATTGAGTTTAAGGACTCTCCGGAAACTTGTTGGCATACGTACCTGATGTGCGAATGCATAGCCCGAACGAACCGACCGGCGGGCACGTCGCGCCGAAGGCGTTCGTCGCACATCGCTGGAGGCGCGCGAGTGCGTTTTAATGGACTTCTGTCGTATCTGTAAAAGCTAGGGATAAATAAACGGGCTGTACTTTAAACTGGAACTGAACTGAAATTGTTTTGCCTTTACCTTATCCGACAAGCTGGGATATACGTCGAGTAAGTAGAACTTGTAGGCCAATACGGGCGCCATTAGCACCACAACTGTGATCAAGAGGGTCACCCAGAAGGTCAGATCTTCGATGGCTTGGGTCAAGGAACCCACATAGGGCCCGCCTATAACATAATTATAGAAATAGTCGAGCACGAAATACCAAATCAGACTGCCCCAAATGGTTACGTGGTTCACAACAGTCCAATAGCTGGTGTATAGAGCGATCTATGTGACAAATAAGCGGATCAGAAATGATACCAAATGGGGATAAAAATTGTAGGTACTACCCACCTGTGCTGTATTGTCGATGATCAGTATAGTGGCCACGACAGCGCCCAGCGTCATGTGATCGCTAACTATGAAGCCATTGGAGGAGACGCCATCCTTGTAGGTTCCTTCAGAGAGAGTCGGTTAACTGAGAATAAAACCGAAATGGGGCATAATAGAACTCACCATAAGGTATAAGGAACAGTATCAGGGACGTAAAGGCGCCGTGCAGCACGCTGTAGATAAATTCGCGAATGTTGAAGAGTTCGCTCTTCAGACCCGGTGTGTAAAGTCGCGGATATTCGACACTGTCCTTATCCGATACATCCTGCTCGAATACGCCCAGCGCCAGCACCGGCAACGATGTGTAGAATAGATTGTACACAGATATAAACATGGGATCGAACACAGTCTGCAAAGGAACTCAAATTACTAAACTATACTCGTGTACTCCAAAGATATCGGCCTCACCTGTGCGCTAAAGCCGCAAAACAATGAGTACCAACAATGGCAGAGCGTAAATGCAAAGTTCTTATAGAAAAAGTAGCGCAAAAATTTGCACATGCGATAGTAGGACCAGCGACCGTGCACCAGCAACAGACGTTCCAGATATCGAAACTGGGCGATCGCGTAATCACTGGACAGTACCGCCTGTAGGCCCTCCTGGCCAGAGATTCCCACTCCAATATGGGCCGCTGTGATGATGGGAAAATTATATATTATTTGGAATATACGAAAATATATACAATGTACAGCTAGTTGCTTCTTCTTCCCGGATGATGGGAAAATTATATATTATTTGGAATATACGACAATATATACTAAACTTATTTTCGACAGAAAGAGGCATCTGCGACCCCATAAAGTATATATATATTTTTAATCAGAATGACAAGACGCATTGATCTAGAGTCTAGACAGGTCCTTCAGTTTGTCTGTCTGTATGAACGCCTGTATTTCGGAAACGGCTGAGCGCTGGTTTATGTGGTTTGGTATGTTAACTCCCCTAGTCCCTAGGCAATACGAGTTTATTTAATTTTTTTATTTTTATTTTTCCCCCCTATTCCCGCTACAGAATTTTGTCAACACTCCACGTTTCAAAAGCTACATAAACCAGACTTTGAAAACGTCTATCTTTCTTTATCTATCTTTCTTTTAAATTTCATCCAAATCAATCCATTTTAAGAAAAATTATTATTACAATTTAACTCCAGTATTATACTGCAGCATCAACTTTTTATTTTTGCTTCTGATATGAGCGCATACAAGTATATCTCAGTGCCCGGCAGTTTGCTCGACTGTAGCCTTTTCTCTGGCTCTAAAATTAATGGTGGTCGAAACAAGCTTATTGCCTTCTTAAAATTTTAAGTGGGCCCCGATTTTGACTAAACTTTGGATACGACTTCTTGTTCACAACGCTTTCGATGAATGCTACTTCTCTTTCTTGCCTCGTCTTTAATCCGACGTCATTTCAAAATGTAAATCAGCTTTGGATACGTACCCTTGATCATGGAGACATCGTTGGCACCGTCGCCTATGGCCAGAGTGACGGCGTTTTTGGCACGCTTGATCAGTTCAACGACCAGCGCCTTCTGAAGGGGCGTAACGCGGCAACAAATTACGGCCTTACACTGGGAGGCGATTTCGAGGAATCTGAAATGGGACATTTGTGGGATATTTGTGGAGTGCACTATTATCCTGACTATTTCAGCTTCTCTACAAACCTTGTCTCCAGTTCGGGTGACAAGCAATAGACCAGCGAGTGCCCATTGACGACCAAAGCGAATCCGTTGGTCTCATCCAGCGCTAGGGACATGGTTCGGGTGTTTGCGCTTTTCTCGCTATCGGTGAAAATTTCGTTGCATTCGGCACTGTAGTGGCGGCGTGTGTTGGGGAAAGAAACACACAGTTATGGATGAGAACGGGAAAGTTAACATTGAAAATATATAGAAAACAGTAAACTAAGTACAAGTATTTACAGAGCGCAACACACACACGGGTGTATGTGTCATATGAGTATAGTTTGTAAATACATATGCATGTATGGATATATGGAGGGGGGAAGATTATGAGGGGTGTACGAGAATGAATGCTCGTTCTATTGGTACAACCAATTGTTGCAACAGACCGTAAGCATGTTCTGTGAAACAGACAGCGACAGCGCGGCCACTATTCGCATATATTCGCATTTCAAACCCCTTTGATCCGATTTTTCCGGCAGTCGCTGTCGATCCACTTGTGCATTGAGGGAATTCCCACATTTAACTCGTTTGCAGAATACGCTTTTTTTTTATCAAACTGCTGATGAACAGCTGATCGTAGAGCTGTGCTTTCTAGTTCAAATTTCTCTTCGCAATTCTTTCAACTGAATCATTTTTTAAAATGAGCTGAATAACAGAATACGATTTTTACATTGCACTTCATTAAAAGACCCATTTGGGAGTCATACTTGTATACGAACGATTGAACTAAAATGCCCAACTCTAGTTTGTTTGCATCCAAGGAAATCAAAATAAGCAACAAAAAGTGAGCCCTTCCTTTGTATATATATGTACATTTGGAGATCAGTGTTTCTAAGCGTTAAAATTGTTGCATGTTGAAATTTTGGGAAATTTTTTACACCGAATGAGAATGAGGAATCGATCGATAAACAGAGAACAAATGCAAAAGACGACGACAACAACAAAGAGAAAGCCAGAATTTGTTTTGTGTGATTTTTAAAAAGAAATGTTCAAAACGTGTTTTGTTTTTTGTTTTGTTTCTGTTTTACGGGCGGAGCAAGTACCAATAGAGGGTATAATCCTGGGAATACTAAGAAAGTGTTATTAAATATAATTGTATATTGCTTGGGCTGAACGCAGCTTACAATATTTACCACTAGCACTAAAAATATTACGTACACCCATGCTATATTTATACACAGTTTCAATCGAAGAAGCACGGTTAAAGAAAAGGAAATACCATTTTAAAGAAATAGAAAAGAAATTACCAAAAAAAAAAAAAAAAATAATCAAAAACTAAGTTGGAAAACAAAATATATACTCGTATATATTTTCAAAAACTCCTTTGGGGGGAACCCAAAGCTAGCCAGGCAGCCAGGCAGCCAGCCAGCCAGCCAGCTTTTAGAAAGGAAATAATATTGAGAACCGAAAAGAAAAATAATTCAAAGAAGAGCAAAGATATAGAAAGTTGATGTTATCGGAAATTCTAGCATCACTTCTCGACTAGGGAGTGTATATTCTTGAAATTTAGTTTGCTTGGATTGCCCTCTACCTGTCCGGTCCGCCCTTATTATCCTTAATTTTGGCATCCCACCTAAAGGTAACCACCGATATAGCTGGCGGCGGTGGCGATATGGGCGCACTATTCGAATCCTGCATAAATGCGGACGTCTGCGTCATCGTAACGCTCAAGGGATCCAAGTTATTGGCACTGCTCAGATGATTAAACGCCTCGCTGCCTGCAAAGAGTGGAAAAGACGAAAGGAGATCTCAGCCAGAGAGCGGACACATTTAAATTGGCTTGCACGTACCACCAGTAGCACCACCCACACCACCGGGACGAAAGCGATTGAATATTTTGATTGACTCCTTAAATTGCCGAAGCTGCTTCTCCACCTCCTCCATCGAGCTGCCGTCTGCGATGAAGACATCGGCCAACTCATCGGTCAGCAGCTGGCAGGAGTAGCCAATATTGATGGCCGTCTCTGTAAAAATTGAGGCTTAACTGTGGACCTACTGGAACTACAAAAGGGCGGGATGGACACTCACCCTGTTTGTCACCGGTCAGCACCCAAATCTTGATTCCCGCATTCTGCAGGTTGGATATGGATTTGGGTACGCCGTCCTGTAGCTTGTCCTCGATGGCTGTTACCCCAACCAGTTCCATGTTGCTCTCGATTTCCTCATAAACGGCATTCAGCTTCTGTTCCCGCAACTCCATGGACAGCGCCGCTTCCTGTTGCCGCGCCCTCCATTCATTATAGAACTGTTCAGTCAATCGTCGCTCGGCGAGCACCAATGTACGCAGACCCTCGCCAGCGAATCTCTGTGAACAATTTAAAGGGTTTACAAAAGTTTCAGTTAGCACAGGACAGGATTGGCTCACATTCAAATGGTCCTGCGTGCGCGCCTTCATATCCTCTTGTCCACCATGCAGGCGATCGTAGATGACGTTGTCGGCACCCTTACAATAGAGCACCACCGTATTCCCACGGCGCAGGATGACGGACATGCGTTTTCGCACATTGTTGAAATCCAGGATATTCAGCAGCTCGTACTCCTAAAGGGTATCGGGCTAAATAAATGGACTCTCTCGGATATGTGTGACTGTGCTCTGCTCACCTCTAGGGTACCCATCACCTCGATGGTAATACTGTTTGGAGTGCGGGCACGAAACACAAAGCCGAAGTTGCGAGCCGCCGAGACGAGAGCAGCCTCGTCGGGACTTTGTGCCTGATACTCCAGACTACCGTCCACCATCTCGGCCATAACCGTGTGGCAGAGCGCCAGGAGGCGAAAGAAGTTGTGCGCGTGCTCCTCATCCGAGCGCACGGCATCGAGCAGCGTACGATCGTACCAACGAAATTCGGCCTCGTGGTGCGGATTGGCCGAGAAATCCACCGACTCGAGTGCCTTGAAGTAGACGACAGTGAAGGATTAAAGTTATGGTGACCCCGAGGCAGTCATTCATAATATTAGCAAAGAAACGATCTTAACGATCAAGGCAAAGCAACAGTTGCGGGTTAATACAGAGAAAAATGTTTATGGTTAGGAATAGTAGTGATCCAGAAATGTTAAGTATAATATATATAAGAGTTTGGCTTAGCTTGATATATATAGTATGTATATACGATTATTTGGAGGCAATATCTATGTACATATGCATTTGGAAGCGATTCATAGTATGGGATATTCGAACTGCGACATTAATAGCTGTGTTTCGATCACAAATGGAAAGTGCCACAAATTTCATGTACTGTTTTATAAACCCGATATGTTTTTTGTGAATTAAGGTTGGGGGCTAATTTCAGAATATAAGTGTGAAAAGGATATTGTACTCTACGTTCTTGGACAACTTTTATTCGGCTAAAAGGCTGTCTAGATTCACAAAATGTTGGCTGAACAAGACTATTTGTATACCCAGCTATGCAAAACCACTTCAGAATATATGCTTGTAACCAAATTATTTATAAACACGTTATAATGTTCTGTGATTTGATTCGAACACATATTATAGAGAAGATATTATTAGGCTTTGGCTATGACAGTCCTAAGAAGATTCCTAATGCTTCAGGCTATCCTTTCTAAAGGCTTAGCTCTACAAGTGTTTGAAATCTTGAGTTTTGGCTTTTAAACAAATTATTTCCAAACATGTTATAATGTTCTGTGATTTAAATTAATTCCAACCCATGCTAGAGAGATGATATCATTATGTTCTTTTCTTAAGGCTTAGCTAGCTCTACAAATGTGTGAATGCAGCGAAATCTTGGGTTCAATGGTGTTCTATATGTGTATAGTTAACGTTTTACTTGTGAGGGATCGAGCACTTCAGGGATGGAATATATGTATAGCTAGTAGATATAGTGCTCGCCCTAAAGCTACTTTGTTTGTAGTATCTGTAAGTAAGTGACGTCACAAGTGCAGCGCAGGGGAGAAAGGGCTTCGCAATTTAATGCGCCACCTTGCTATGATTACAGAGTGCTGGCTTGTATGTAAGTATGCACTTATAGCTAGGTACGAGTATGTCTGATTATAATCAAAGTAGCAGGGATTTATTTTGGGGGACGCGTTTAACAATCATGCATACGTGCACTTTTTGGTGCGACGATCCCCAATTTGTGGCAACATTGTGTGTGCTTTTGTGACGACTGTGGTTGGTGCTTGGAGGGGGGGTGGTGTTGAAGGTGGTGGTGGAGCTGGAGCTGCTACCGAGGCAGTGTTGTCGGCGCCTCGCGCCCTCCTCCGGTTCAGGGGCAGTGTCCTTCAGGCTGCTGTAGGTTCGTTGGCAGCGCGGTGGCCAACAACCGTTTGAATTTGAAGCGATAGCCGATAAACTGGCGCACGACTTCGACTTCTTCAACTTGGTGCCGTTGCTCCCAGTGGCGATTGTGGTGCTGCTGTTGCTGTGGCCGAGAGCAATGGCGCGTTGGTGGTTGCGGTTAGCAATGTGGCGGCTGATGAGTGTGGTGGCATGACTGAGCAGCAATCTGCCGGCGCTGCTGTGGCGTTGGTGGCGTTGGTGGCTGTTAGTGGCTGTGGGCCGAGTGCTTTTTTTGTGAATGTGGGTGCTGGTATTGGTGTTGGACGTGGACTTGGAGTTGGTATCGTGGTCGTGGTCGGTGCTGCTAATAAACTCATGCAAGATTATTACTTTGTCGCTGCTGGTCGTGGATAAGGTGGAGGATAGCTGGCGGCGCATGCGGACACCGCTGCCCGTTAAATAGCCACCTAGTGTGCCACTTTTGTGCGTAGACGGTGATGGTGACCGGGACGGTGACCGGGACGGTGACGCGGACGCGGACGATGGTGATGGTGTTGGCAATGCCGATGAGGTGCCCGCTTTGGCTCCACTGCTGTCATCAGCTGTGAGTGACGCCGAATAGCGGACACGTTTGCGCTGCACCTCTTCCTGTGGCTGTGCATGTGACTGAGGCTGAGCGTGAGCCTGAGCCAGAGGCAGAGGCAGAGACAGCTGCCCAGCTTTGGGAACCTCCGGCGCCTCGATATCCACTGGACTCTTCTTCGGATGCACCTCGGCCCGGTGGACGAGTATCGTTGGCGGTGGCGGTGGCGGTGGTGCTGGTGTTGGTTGCTGGGGCTGTATTGGTTTGCTTTCTGCTTTGTCACCACTTGCTATGGTCGCTGTATTTGTCTCTACGGTTGTTGCTGTTTCGGTTCTGGTTCTGGTTCGGGTTCTGGTTTCGGTTTCAGGTTTAGTGGTGCTCTTGCTGTTGTTCTTGCTATTTTGGAAAATTGTTTGCTGCTATAACAAATAATGTGAGTTTTCCATTGGCGCACAAATTAAGAACACAAAACACAAAAAGCATTGTTCTCTGCAATACATCTAAGAATGTCACGCCGGTTCCCGTCTCCGATCGAGTTATTCGACTTAAAATAACTAATTTACTTATTTCGATTCCGCATGAGCTGATCCGAATTGGAAACGGGAACGGACCTGTATATTTATGCTATCAAAAAGTGATTTGTGGAAAGACAATTACAGTCAGAACTCAAAATGAATCTAAAGGTTGCTAATCAGCCTATTTATTGAACATTACAATGATAATTGCCGTTGCTTAGGATTAACAATTTCAATAAATTACTGTTTTATCTTTCAGCTGCCTTATCAACTATTTTTGTGGAACTAATTTGTGGTCCGACAGACAAACAATTGGCACACAAACTTGTATTATTTGACAAGTAGAATTATGTTATAGGTTACACTAGTTATTCCGAAATTTTAACAATCTGCACAAAAACAAGGCTATTTTAGTCAAAAAGTCATAAGTGCATTCCATCTGAGATTTACTTTTCATTTCACGAATTTGTGTGCAAATTATTTGCCCAGCCGACCATTTGTTTAATTTTTCATTAAGAATGTAGTATTTAGGCGAGAAAAAATGGGGGGGGGGGGGGGGGGGGGGGGGCATGCTTGTGAACAAATGTTCATTAATTTTAGGAGCAAATCAATGTCTAAATATGTATTTGTATATATAAGCCGTATTAAAACAAATATTAGAAAGATACCAAAATTAGTTCACATCTTACTTATATAAACTAGAAAAGGGTTTAAAAAATATCGTACTAAGTAAAGATAATCAGTTGAAGAACACTTATTGGCACTTATTGTCACATCTGCATATAAAATCCTATTGGAAATTGCAATTCAATTAAATTAAAGTATGAGATATTTAGTAACAATTATTATTTATTAATAAGATCTACTTGTAGATGTTTTGATTAAAGTGTAATGCGTAATCGTAAGAAACAACGCTTCTTCAATTCCCTATTGTCAAAACGTAACTCGTTCTACATAAGTTATTTAATTAATTTAATTTAATGTGAAAACTATTTCGAATTTTCATTTCTTTTTCAATTTAAATCAACAATTAAACGTAATATTAATTGCTATAAGAAGTATTTTGATTTGTAAAGACTGATTGAATTCATAAACTCGTTGACTGGGCAACGGAAAACCACCATTTGGGCTGGCTGATACCCAACAAACGCTAATTAACATTCTTATTGGGATTACCAGTAATAAAATAGTGGTAAATAAGTAGCACTGAGTGACCCATTTACTCACCTCGGTTATTTCGATTAGTTCGCCGGTGCGCAAATCAATGACATCACCATAGGTACGCCCATTAATACTGCACTTGTTGAAAGTCATGATGTTCTGGGTGAGGGTGCCAGTCTTGTCCGAAAATATATACTGTATCTGGCCGAGTTCCTCGTTGAGGGTGGTGGTGCGAGCTTTGGCATATGTATTCGTTCGTTCATAGTACATTTCCTCATCCCAGTTGATAAGGAATGACTGGACGAAGCGTATTACCTGTTGCGAGAGAATTAGTGAGTCTCATTTATACAAGTACATGCAATATACTTGTAGTATTGGGTGGGGTTGCGATTGGGATTGGAATTGGGATTGGGGCGATTTGATGCTTACCTCTACTGAAACGTAGAGGGAAATTGGCACAACAGTATTTAAAACTATGGCGTAGGAGAAGAATACGAGCAGACCAATGACAGTGGCACCGGAAGCCACCAGATCCTTCGGTATGATGTTCTCCCATGGCAGATACACTTGAAAATACTGACCAATCAGGCCCTCCCAGATGGCGCACGCTATCGCGAAGAAGGCGCAAATCGACACCAGAAACAGAACGATCTACAAGGGAGTACAGTACAGAGTGAAGTGAGAAAATAGTTCGTCCATTACGGGACAGGACAGGACAGTACAGGAACATTCGGCTTACACCAATGATAATAAAGTTGAGGAGGCGGTCGACGCCCGTGCTCTTGAACTGCGTCTTGCCCGAGTTCTGCATGAGTTTGGTGTCCACACCGGCAAAGATCACGACACCATAGCACCATTGTGTGTTCCGGAGCACACAGCCACGCAGCAAAATCTTTTCGTTGTCGAGGGCGAACCGTTGATTCTTCCAGATGAGCGTACCCTCGAATTTGTTGAGCAAATTGTTGGGTCGCTCGCAAATTATTTCACCATTGAAGGCCCACAGAGCGTCATGTTGTTGGCCCAATTCCGTAGTCTCTGGCAAGCACTGCTTGGCCTTCAGATTCGTCTCCCCATCCAGCTCCGCCGTCTCAATGAAGCACAACCCATTTGGCTCGGAGGTGGTCAGCAAGAGGATGTCGGCCGCCACAAACTGATTATTATCCAGACGTATAACATCCCCCACCTGCACCTCCGACCACTTGGCATCGATGAGCTTGCCATTCCGCAACGTCTTCGACTTCCGATTGTTCACCTGCGAGTCCGAAATATGTCGTTGCTGGCAGGAAGATAGGATAGATACAAAGCACGTCTAAATGCTACAAATCCTTCAACCTACTATATCATCGTAAGCGTCCTTCACGGCGGTCAACGTAAGCACCCCAATCAAAGGTATAGCTGTCGTCACCGGCGTCAATGAGGATATGGCCGGAATAAGTTGCAGGACCAGCAGACACAGGAAATAGAAGTTGGCCAAACGTTGAAACTGCTCCAGCAAGTTGAAGGGCAGAAATGTTAACAGCGAGTATTTAGAGGTCTTGATGTAGTTGTTCTGAAAAGCCCCGGAAAACCCATAAGTATGCTTTCGTAATAATGCCTAAAATATTACACTTACGTGATATTTAAACTGAGTATTGAACTCTTTGTCATTGGCCCGAATTCTGCGTTCATTGTCTGCAATCAAAAATTCAAAGAAATATATCAGTGGGATTTATGCATTTAATATACTTGTATAAATAATAGCTACTCTATATATATTTGTCCTTAGATATAGCCACATATTTATCAAATGCTCGCATTATAATTGATTGAAGAGGAATTTATGCATGACATTGATTCAAAAAGCATAATATTCTTCCACATTTTTGATTGAAATCCTTTAGGGATACCATTTTTGTGATTATACGCAACCAGAACTTACCCGAAAGGAGGTACTTCTGAAAGATAACTTAAAGCTCTTTTGGTTTTCTTCAGAGTTTTATTTGATTTGAAAGCCCTCTCAGAGTGTTTCCATTCCACAATGGGGCGTTTACTGAGTCTTGTACTATTATTATTATACCTCTCACTGATAAGTACAAGGTTCTATTGTTTATGGTATGCTTGTGAAACCCAGAAAGGAAGAGTGGAGGGTCACACGTTTTAGGGAGATCTATTATCAGCAAGACGAGACGAACCCGAATCGTGATCGAACTATGCAACGAGCCTTCTTTCAGATACAGTTAACTAATATTATGTAACCAGATTCATGTTATGCAGATGGGGACCTGTACGGCTGGTTGGCAGGAGATGCATGTCCACCCTGGGAAAATTCATAGCCCTATTTGGTAATATCCCCACTTTACCTGAAAAATAATAGGAGCTGCGACGACATCGCAATTGTGACAAACGCCTCAGGTTGCGCGCCGAAGATGACCCCGAAAGGGGCTCAAAGTCGCTGGTGACGCTGCGGCTAGTCTGGTGGGGCAACAGTGTGGGCTCTCCACTCGAGTTGCTCTCAGTGCCACTCCGCCTTCTGCGTTGGCGACGTTTTCCCTGCTTCTGGTGTCGCCAAAAGGCCAGCTTTCGCAATACGGACTTAAGTCCGCCAGCGCCCCCGACAGGGGTATCTCTGTCCGCAGGCACTGATAGCTGAGGGGGCGGCTTATACTTCCTCAGACTGCATGGGGGCTGCTGGTGAGTGGTCAGTCTGTAGGGACTATCAGTGTTCTCGGCGTATTCGGGGGTTATGGGCAGCGGAGTAGCTATAGTCTGAGAGGAGTTGCCTATGTTGGTGGCCTCTGGTTGCGCTAAACGGGCCTCGTTATTGCTGGGAGACTGCAGCTGGCGTCGATGCCGTCCCTCCTCGCACTCGTCATCGCTATTGCTTTGGAGCGACCGCCTCTGTCTGCGGGACTTTCGTCCAAAATGGAACCAACGCGTGTGGGTAGAGGCTTTTGGCTGTGGTATCGAAGCAGTTATAGTTTCAGTTTCTGCCTCGAATGTTGCGGCCATTTTGGGCCCAGAACTAGGTACGGATTCATCATGATTTTTCGCAGACTCTGGTACTCGTAACTCATCCTGTGGCATGTCTTCCTCTTCATTGCTAAGTCTTTTGTGCCCGCCTAGCACAATCAGCTCCAACGTGTCCGGTCGATGGTGTAACTGTGTGGACCCCTCGCTGCAATCCTTGCCATCAGGCATGACCGCTTCTTTTCATTTTTTTCGCAACCCGCACCAAACTTATCGTTTTTCGTTTTAAACTAAAACTTTTCCACACAAACAAATCACAAATACTGCCGGCAGTTCGACGACCGACGGTGCGAGGGCACCGCGTTGCACAGCATGTTTAGGCACAGTTATGTTTCTTGAATGTCTATCATCGAGCAACAGTTAAAAAGCAGCAAAACACCGCCTAGGTGAGTCGTTTGGTTACTGGGGGGATCTGTCTATCTAATACAAAATAAATGGGCTTTATTAAGAATGAACCACGGCGATAGTTTCTCGAGACATGATATTTTCGCGAACGTTATACTGGAGAACGAAGTCTATTTAAACTTGCTAACTATCGGCTATATGCCTCTTCTGTATTTCTTTGAGGGGGTTAAGGAGACTAATCGAGTGTTAAAACACATATGCCTATATTCTTACTAGAGAGCAAGTGCTAGAGTCTTCAAAACTTGAAAGAGTTATTTTATATCTATTCCAAAGTGGTTCCACTGTATTGCCAAAAAGCGTTTATAATCGGGCTATTTGCTCATCCGTCTCTCTATGCATTTCTCTTATTTGAGGTGAGGTATTTGAAAATAGGGCAGTGGATAAGAAGTGTCACTCTTGAAAATTGCAGTTTCTTTACTAAAGGGGGTCCACTGTCTTCATTCGGCTGTTGCTATGTCTGTTAGTTTCCGTTTAAGTCTAAGAGTGAAACAAATTCAAACAAATTATTAATTCCTATTACGGACAAGAAGAGACACTATATAGTACTTATTGGTTTCTATTTTTCTAAACTTGGATATATTGTGTAGACGAACTCCCTGCCAATGCATAATAATAACAGCCCTAGCCGTGGCAGAACCAACAGAACTAACAACGAGGTCGTTGCCAGACCCTGGGCGCTGCCTTCTTAGTATGAGTCACACACTTGGCTCTTTGGGGAGGGCGCACTCATAGCACTACTTGGGTAGCTTTCGAGCAGTGCGTCACCTCTGGGGTGGTTCAGGCATCAGCTGGCGGGGCTCTATTGTTCCGAACACGACGACAATTACAAAATTCAATTACAAGACGTACTGACAAGGCCCTTCAGTGGTAAAAAGATCGATGAAGGTGCCAATACTTATGCTACAGCAACAACAAAAGCAACAACAATTCAAGTGAGCAAAGAATACAAAAAAAAAAAACACAGCAACAAAAAGAAAAGCGCTCTTGAAAAAGTGCGGCGCGACTTTTGACTGAAACTTTGCTAAACATTAGGTTTTCATTGACTTTGTTGTAGTCGTTGTTGTTGTTGTTGCTGTTGCTGGTATTGTTGTTGTTGTTGCTGATGCATAAGTACAACAACACAAACAATACATATATCGCATCGGCAGCAACAAGGGAAAGGGGGAGGGCACGCAATAATGACGCTGGCTGCGCTTTTCTGACGCTTTCGCGTAAGTTATTGTTGCTGTTTCTGTTGGTATTGTTGTTGTTGATGTTGTTATAGTATTTTGCAAGTGTATGTTGATTTATATATTCATTTGTTGTTTGCTATTTGGTTATATTTTTAGCACATTTCTTGCATATTGCTATTTGTTGCTGGCGATAGGCGATGGGCGATGTAACCGCATATTGCCGCCGCCTCTTACAGTCAGTCGTCGCTGCATATTTTTCACAAATACGAGTATTCCACTTAAATTTGTTTGAAACAACACTTTCACTTCACATTCCAATACAATTTTTTTATTTGAATAATCGTAATAATAAATAAAAAATGAACAAAACAAATCAGGAGCTGAGAACTTTTAGCAAAACGAACGCAAGGCATGCAGAGTCGACTGACGACGGACGGCGTTGAGTGCGAGCGACCGACCGACCGACCGGACCGACCAACCGCTTGCTCGCTCGTCTCTGAGGAATGAACGGGAACGGGAGCCGAGCGCACCTAACCGAACGACGCGAAGCGACGTGAAAACGAATCCGATAAACCAAACAACAGAAAACCAAAGCAACCATTTCCAACTACTAGGCAATGGCAATGGCAATACCAATATCCACAATATGATGGCGGCCATGGTCGTGCGAGACACGGTCGAGAACCCGAAGAACACCACGCAACAGTCACAACAAGCAGACACGAACTAAATAAGTGAGCGCTAGAAACGGCAACCACGAAGATGTCGCTATTGCTGTTCTTGTTGTTGTTCTTGTTGTTGTTGTCATTGTCGTGGTTGCATTCGGCGTCAGGACAACGGTAAATAACAACAACAGAGAATGAACGGTCAGTGCCAACAGCAATCAAGTGTCTAAACAAAGAGCCTCACGAGAGACGTCCAAGCTAAGTCAAAGCCATGGGCGTAGTGAAGGGGGAAGATGGTGCAGTTAACCAAATCCCGCACCCGCTGCAAATACGTTTTTCTTAAAAAAACACACACACATCTAGTTGTTGCTTGATTAATATAATACATTATTTATGCAAAAGCGTCTCAATTACTTACAGAGTATTTGTTTTCACAACCTTTCTGAATTTAAAGAGAACTTAATTCTTTAGAATGTTACTCATCCTTTATAATAGTCGCAGTAAAAACTTTTAGTGAAACGGAGGCGGGGCAGACCTTACAAAATATACGAGTATATGTTCGTCACGGCATTTGTATAAACAACTATATCTCGGAGAATATAAGAGTTAGAAACACCAAATGTTGGTTCAAGATGCCTTATATGAGTACGCAGGAAAAGTGTATTTTAAAATTTTTCCACTCCCCCGCTATTAAATTTGGCAAATACTTCCAATTAGTGACTATGTGCCCGTTGCGTACATGCTGACACACATATACGCACAGACATAGGTATAGAGTATTTAAAACTTGGGACACTTTAGCTTTTTCACTTTTTTCAAATGAATGTTATTCCTTTCATGTTTATTGTTGAAAATTTTGAGCGTGCATCAGGGAAAATGAACAAGCTCGTCCTTTCTCGGGCTCAGGAGAATCCGGATACCAAGTTTGGTTATTCTAGCTCTTATACTTTCTGAGATCCTTGCGTTCATACAAACAGACAGACGGACGAACAGACGGACATGGCTATATAGACTCGGCTTGTCATTCTAATCCTGCCACGCCTCCTTCTGTGTGTTCCATGTACACTCGCACAAAACTAATATACCCTTTTACCCTTTGGGTACAGGGTATAAAAACGGACCACTAACTCATCAATCACTGAAAATTGACTTGGGAATTGTAAGGAAAAACCGTTTTCAAAAGCTCTTTATATTATATTTGTAGTTCAGATCAGTTAAATAAAATGGCAAATGAACAGGTTCTTAGAAAAAGTATTAGTATAATATATCATTTATATTTGAATGTACTCCAAAGAATCAAAATATGTATATAAATGATTAATGTTCAATATCTGATTGAAGAGTGTCCGGCTCGAGGATATGGCATTACATTGTGTAGCTTTATTAGCAAATTACATTTTTTGTAGACCCGTAAAAACCCAATGAAAAGTCCGGCATCATTTCCGCAAACGTACCGGAAACAGTGCCACAGCTACAGCACTGAACTTCCGGCGCACGCAAACCTACGCCTGCCTCGCCACCTCAGTGCGACTACACTCGATGTGGCTTTTGGGAAATGCACCAACCATTATTGTGACGTAATTCGCAATACGCTAAGTATTATGAACTGAAATTTAGTTTAGAAATGCCGTCGCGCCCTCTGTTGCATCCAGCATGTGTTAATGTTTAACAAAAGGCAGCGCACCCACAGACCCACAAAACCCAAAAACTTTTGGGTAGTCCCTCAAGTCCGCCAGCTGCTCAATATGTACTAATATGAGCTTTTAGCTAATTTTTTTGTTGCGCACTGTCGCTGCGGAAGAGAGCACCATCACCAACACAAATGCAACTGCCATCGCCATCGTAGGCGTGATGTGTCGCACGTGAGACGAACGTGTGTGTGTGTGTGTGTGTGTGTGTAATTGTGTGTGTGAGTGACCACATGAACCTGGCAGCGAGTACTCGCGCTCTCATTACTCATTACCAACCAATTGAGGGCACTACGACGTCAATGTCAGCGTCGCAGTCGGCGTCGTCGTCGTCGTCTTCGTATTCCTTGCCACCCGTTCTCCTCAAATACAAATATATTTACACATGCATACATACATGGACAATGTATATGTATGTTCGCATATGTATTTACACAGGCCTCGCACACAAACACACGTGCCATTTGCATTTGTTGTCATCGCCATTGCCCTGACTTGCTGAGCTGTTGTTTCTTTTGCGGTTAAAATGTATTAACATAATACAACACTAGTCTAAACAAGTAAAAAAGCTAAAGTCGGGTGTCCCGACTTTGAAATACTCTGCACATATGCTTAGAATAATTATAGAAATTAAAAAAAGTAAGAAAACTAAAAAAAAAATTTTTTTATCGATTTTACCTCAAATATATTTATGACTATAACTTCTTGTTAAATCGGTCTATCATGATGAAACTTGGCATACGGACACATAAATACTAACTGAGGGTACTTGCAAATTTAGTTCGAAATTCTAAGAATTACGGGAGTTAGAGAAAATCGCGATTTGCATGGGAGAGAGGGGGGGGAAGGGAAATTCCAAAATACACATTTTCTGCATATTCACATAAGGCATCTGGGACTAAAATTTGGTGTCCTTAGGTCTTATAGTCTCCAAGATATAGGCGATTATACGAATGGAAAATCGGGAAAACCCCCATAGGGGGGAAGTGGGGGGAAAATCAAAAAAATAAAACAAACTTACACTGCGTACACACATAACGCATCTTTGTGCAAAGTTTGGTGTATGAACACAGACGGGCAGACGGACCGACTGACAGCGGACAGACAGACAGGGCTAGATCGACTCGTCTCGTCATGCTGATCAAGAATACTTGTATATATACTTTGTGGGGTCTGCCATGCCTCCTTCTGCCTCTTACATTTTTCACTTCCCACAAACCTAATATACTCTTGTACATTTCATGTACAGAGTATAAAAATTCGAAGCAAAACGAATTTGAATAAGTTAACGGAAACTTGAAAACACCTTCAATAAACTAACGAAAAACAAGTGAAATACTCTGTACATATTGTTGTATGTACATATAAGTATGTTGAATAATTATGCGTGTCCATGCGTGTTTAAGTGTGCATCTCGTGTGCCTGTGCAAAGCAGCAATAACAACAACAGCTGCTGGCAGTGATTATACATATGGCAATAACTTGCTATTAAATCCGCCTATCATAATGAGAGAGGTATTTAACTAATTTGAGTTAAAAATTCCAAGATATACGAAAGTTATGCAAATTTCCGAAATACTAATTTGCTGCATATTCACATAAGGCATTTTTGTCTCTGATATCCAGCTAGACCGACTCTTCTTGTCATGCTGATCAAGAATACATATACATACATATGTACATACTTGTACATACTTTGTGGGGTCTACCACGCATCTATCTGCGTGTTACATTTTTCAGCTCCCGCAAATCTAATAGTAAACTCTTGAATTTTTCATGTCATTATTATTATGGCTATAACCTCATTTAAATGTGACTTATCATGATAAGCACTAAAAGTATGTAATTGTCAAAATTGTAGGTAAAAATTCCATGAATTACGGGAGCTAAAAAAAATCACTAATAACTTGATCTGTCTTAGGGGAACCTGAATACATACCAAGTCTGTTTATTCTAGCTCTTGTACTTGTGGAAATCCTTGGGCTCATAGATATGAATATACGGACAGACGGACTTCGCTTTGTCGACTCATATGTCACCCTGATCAATAATATTATGTATGTAAATACTTTGTGGAGTCTGCCACGCTTCCTTCTGTATGTAACATACATACACCTAACTAGTACACCATTTTATCGTTTGGGTATATGAAACCAAAAAAGACGGTCATCTTTATTAGAGTTAATTGGTTATGTACAAGAGGGAGGAAGCATCGCCGGCCCCGCCGATAACAGTAATCGGTAACCGATGTCACCTATCGATCACCGATACAAATAGTCGAAATTCGACAACTCTATTGGATAACCGGTAGCATGTATCGATCATCATCAACATTGTCGCAGCGAAGGATGTGAGTATTACGAAGGGAAATCTCTATCTGCCACGTTCGTAAGACGACCAGTACCTGGGCTTCTACTCGACCGGATGGTCACTTTCAAGTCTCATATTAAAACCGGCTAAGCTTGACTGGCTACTAGCTGGCAGGACTAGATAGCCACTGCATTGAAAAAGGGGTGGATTGCTTGCAGAAGGGTGCAGAACAAAACCCCACAGATTATAAATGGATACGGCTGATACGTAAGCGGTGATCTAAATCTGGGGACTATAGAGCTTCAGATTAATCAACACACACAGTCGGTAAGTGACCGATTAAAAGCGCACCGCAGCAGGCTGGTCAGATGCCTTCCAGATGCCCTTACTAACCACCCGTCTCAAAAGGAGAGAACCTTAGTTCTAACCTGAAACTTTGTTCAGTGGGGTATTTTGTCAATCAGTGGTATTTTTTGATGGTATATCCAGCACGGAAAAAATTAATAAACATACTTTAAAAAATAAACCACTAAGTTTTTGGAATTTCTTATTAAAGTGTTACTTTAACGAAAGGCACTAAAAACACTTTTGTGGGGCGAGAAACTTAATTACGGATTACTTTTCATAATCCACTCATCAAATTGGACGAGTGTGCGTGCAAATTATTTACAAGTCTGACCGCAGACGATGAATGGGTCACAAGATTACGATAATATTTAATTGAATTTCATTTAAATACACACCTTTGGCCAATTGTGGTTGAGTTTTTGTGCCCATTATGACATGAGACGACCGGCTCCGAATAATAATCACACTCTAATTGGTATTTGAAGAGCGCCAATTGTTGCTTCAGGTTCAGCAGAATATAAAGTACTGGCATGTGCATAGATATGTGCGGTACAAATATGCCGACATCGTAGTATTTATGTAGTTATATTTGTATATATTTGAAAAACTAACTGCACTCATCTGTAGAATCTGTAGGTCCACAGCTACATAGCTGGTGCATA